GAGCTGAAGCCAGGAGCCAGGAGCTTCTTCCAGGTCTCCCACGTGGGTGCAGAGGCCCAAGGACTCAGGCCATCTTCTACTGCTTTCCCAGGCCATAGCAGAGAGCTGGATTGGAAGTGGAGCAGCTGGGACTCAAACCAATGTCCATATGGGATGCCAGCACTGCACACGGTGGATTTACCCGCTATGCCACTTCACTGGTCCCTGCTCAGAAGCTTCTTAGTTCGATATAATTCTATTAGTCTATTTTTTAAGGGAAAGGATTTATTGGGAAAACCTGACAGACTGTAGGGAAGGAGCAAAGAAGGAAAAGAGGGAGAAGGAGAGTGTAAGAGAGAGATTCAGAGAGAGATCAAAAGACAGAGACAGACAGAGAAGAGAGAGAGAGATCAGGAGATGGAGAGAAAGAGAGCCACATGCTCAGGAACAGGTCTTTTTAAAACTTTGCTGGGGGGCAGGCAGGGAAGTAGGAGCAGCGGATCCCATTAGGATGGGTGTGGGACTGACACCAGTGGTTGGGCCACGTGGTCTCCTGGCTTCCAGCATTGGTGGGGGTGGGGGAGAGCCTAGGATGGTGTCAGGACTGCGCCATTTTACTAACATTCCCCCCTTTTGTTTTTTATAAAGCAGGAGTTGTATGGGATTACATTAGCCCAAAAAGTCCAGGAGGGGTAGAGGGACGATGATCTGTCCTTAGAGCTACTTTTCGCTGGCATGGGGCGATGTTTCAAGCTGCTATCTCCTGGGCAGGGAGCCGAGTATATCCCTGTAGCAGCATGTGGTTGACTGCCTGGTTGCTGAAGGCCTTGGTTCATTCAATTATCACCTCCTGTAAATGCTTAAATGCTGTAGTATAAAAGACAGTGTGAGAACAGCAACCAATGATCCTAAGAGTGGCATTAACCAAGTAATGAGAGGATTTCATAGAGGAGAGGAAATGAAGAGAGTCTCTGGACCCTTGTGAGGACTGATGGGTGTGGTTTAAAGCTGATCCCAACCAGGACCGGGATGAAGGCCACTCATCTTTTTGCAGGTAGAGGGGTTTGTCTGTAGAGAAATTCTGAACAATCATACAACATTAAGTGAGGGAGAGGACCATTCTATTAGTCTATTTTTGCTTTTGTTGCCTGTGCTTTTGAGGTTTCACCCAAAATATTATTGCCTATACCAATGTTTCCCAATGTCTTGCAATGTTTCCCTAATGTTTTCCTCTAATAGTTTCCTAGTTTCAGGCTTTACATTTAGATCTTTAATGCATTTTGAATTGATTTTTAAAAAGATTTTATTTATTTATTTGAGAGGTAGAGCTACCGACAGTGAGAGGGAGAGGCAGAGAGAATGGACCTCTATCTGCTGGTTCACTCCCCAAATGGCTGCAATGGCTGGAGCTGTGCCGATCCGAAGCCAGGAGCCAGGAGCCTCCTCTGGATCTCCCACATGGGTGCAGAGGCCCTAAGGACTTGGGCCATCTTCCACTGCTTTCTCAGGCCACAGCAGAGAGCTGGATTGGAAGAGGAACAGCCAGGACCAGAAAAAGGAAGACCTTTCTCTCTGTCTCTCTCTCTCACTGTCCACTCTGCCTGTCAAAAAAAAAAAAAAAACCACTATAAAAAAGTTATTTGTTTATTTGAGAGAGAGAGGAAGAGAGAGAAAGAGAGAGACGGAGAGAGAGAAGAGAATTTCCATCTGCTAATTCTCCCCCTAAATACCTGAAAATGAGAGCCAAGAACTCAATCCAGGATTCTCATGTGGGTGGCAGGAACCCAATTAATTGAGGCATCACTGCTGCCTCCCAGGGTCTGTATTAGCAGGAAGTTGAAACCAGGAGCTGGAGCCAGGAATGTAACCCAGGTACTCTGGTGTGGGATATGAGCATCTCAACAGGCTCAATGCTCGTCCCTGAGTTTATTTTTGTATATGGTGAGAGATAAGGGTCTATTTCCATTCTTCTGCTTATGGATATCCAGGTTTCCCAGTATCATTTATTGAAGAGACCGTTCTTTGTTTTTGGTGTCTTTGTCAAAGATAAGCTGGCTATAGAAGCATGGGTTTATTTCAGAGTTCTTTTGTTCCACTGGTCTGTTAGTTTTTATCCTGTACCATGCTGTTTTGTTTATTGTAATCTTTGTTCTGGTGAGATATTATGATGCCTCCAGCCTTGTTAAGATTGCTTTGGCTCTTTGGGGTCTTTTGTGGTCCCATATGAATTTTAGGCTTTTTTTTTTCTATTTCTTTGAAACATGCCGTCGGTGTTTTTATGAGTATTATATTTAATCTGTAAATCTTAGCTTTATTCTTGAAAGAGCAATGGAAGAATCTGGCTTAGGTGTGATGTGTTGCAGAAATCCAGAATTAGACATGCTCGTTAAATCAGTCATAAGCACCCCTGAAAAGCACAGGCCCCCTTTTGTGTGGGAAGGCAGCTTTTGGGTTGAGTGGAATGCAGGTTTCCTGGACATATGATCCCAAACAGGCGAGAGAGCGTTTGAGCACACGTGCCTGGCTCCTGCTCCCCTCAGTATTAGCCATCTGGAGAATTTCTCTTTCTACTTGGGGATAGAGGGTGTTGGAGGGTCACCCTAATAGAGCTCTCTTCATATGGATAAAAGCAAACACCAGGCATGGGGTGCAAATTTTTCAGCTAACAACATTGTATATGACACATCTGTTAATGCTGGTTTTATATATGCACATATATAAATATATTAATATATCTGTATCCTGTATATGTCCATTTTTTTAAATCAGTATACAGTGAAACTGATTGAAGACCACTATTGTTCCTCTACTGTAAATAGTGTGGCCAAGTTCCATACAGCTGAAATGGAATTAGAGGACATAACTGGGTCTCTTGGATCTTTAGAATGAGCCCGGGCTTTCACTAAATTAAATGTTATGGACACTGCCATTAATCTACACATCTCTAAAGGAAAACATGTATAGGGGGTAGAAAAAGTCCATGCTAGCAGCTCTTTCCTGACCTCGCCCACAGGTGGCAATCTCGGGATGGGAAATTCCATTCAGGCAGCTCCTACAGGGAATATGGACCCCAGAGGTCCATAAGCAGCTCTCCTGTCGTACAAGTATTCTGAAGCCAGGACATGGTTTATGTTAGCACTAAAGAGTAGGTTGTGGGGCCAGCGCTGTGGTGTAGCAAGTAAAGCCGCCGCCTGCAGTGCTGGCATCCCATATGCGCGCTGGTTCAAGTCCCAGCTGCTCCACTTCCAATCCAGCTCTCTGGTTTGGCCTGGGAAAGCAGTAGAAGATGGCCCAAGTCCTTGGGCCCCTGCACCCATGTGGGAGACCCGGGAGAAGCTCCTGGCTCCTGATCAGCACAGCTACGGCCATTGTGGCCAACTGGGGAGTAAACCAGCGAATGGAAGACCTCTCTTTCTCTCTGCCTCTTCGTCCCTCTTTCAAATAAATAAATAAATCTTAAAAAAAAAAATAAAGAGTAAGTTGCAATGCAGGGTAGAAATACGGCCAGGACTAGGGTTAAGGATTTGGCTAAGATTAGGCAGGGATTGTATTTCAGCTAGAACTGAAGGTAGAGTTGACATTTTGAAATTTTGAGCTTATTATATGGAACATTGCCCATGACAGATGTTCTGTGAATGGATTTACAGTCAAATGACTTTGAGAAACTTTGTACAAAGTTTCTCCTGTAATTATAAATAATGAATAATGTAATTATAAATAATGTATTTATAATGTAATGTATAAAATAATGTAATGTAATTATAAATAATGAATAAATGTAAATAGCATTATACAGCATGTTATTATAGAAGAGGCAGCTTACACTTTTATCAATAGTGTAACAGGTTTTTTTTTTTTTTTTTTTTTTTGGCATTTCTGAAATTGTGTCCATGGAAGACTTATTTCAGAGTACTTATTGACATTTGTTTTGGAAATATTGAATCACAGTTAGGCCAGGCTGAAGCTAATAAGCCAGGAACTCCATCTGGGTACTTGGGCTATCTTCTGCAGCCCTCCCAGGCAAAGGGAGGAAGCTGGATTGGAAGTTGAGCAGCTGGGACTTGAACCAGCATTGTTACGGGATACAACTGTCGCAAGCAGTGGCTTAACCCACTGCACAATGCTAACCTTTAGCTGTGGCATTTCTGAAACAGCATGAATGCAACTGGCGCGTGTGCCAGTTCCAAGTGACCCTGAAGCAAGGTCATGGAGTTGAACATACAGCCATCAGCAGGTTTGGGAGGTGTGGTTCCCATCCCATCCCATCCCATGGGGCCCGGGTGGCCTCCCACACCACTGCCACTCCTATTCTTATGATTCAGAGCTCAGTTTGTAAGAACTGGGGTGAGCATGCTCCCGTGACAGATTGTATTGACTACTATTCCTAAGCAAGGCCATGGAAAATGTGTATTATCAAAAAAGCCAGGCATGGATTCTAAAGCTTTTCACATCAAAATAAACTTATACTTTGACTCAAGTTTTCCATGAACTCTCTGGTTACCCTGTGTTCTTTAACATCCTGACTCCAGGATGCCATGTAAATCCCCTGTGTACAGTTCCTCTGGTGGGGGACTCTGCTGACCGCCCCCTCTCTCCCTGTGAAGGTAGGATCAAGGTGGTGGGTTGACTTGGCCTTGGCTCAACCTTTGGGAAAGAATACATTGAGATCACACCCTCTACCTGCTGCAGGCAGGGGCCTTTGTGTTGTCCCTGCGGCCCAGCACACGGTCATCCCTCAGCAAGCACACAGCTTCCAGGCTCCCTGGCTTTGTGCAGTGTCCCATCTTTAGGCACAGGGTCAAAAATATGCAGGAAGTATCCAGCAAATGAAAGGGAGCTTCCCTTGGTTTCTGGATGCTGTAGTTAAGAGAATGAAAATGCACTAGGTCCTGAGAGGAGTGGGCCCCAGTTTGGGGCAATGTCCAGAGCTCGTATAGTTTCCTTTCTGTGGTCCCAAAGACCCCAGGCCCCAAAGCTATGCACCGTTTCTTCAGCCAAATAAAATCAACAGCCACTCCATCTTCACAATGAAGCTTGAAACCAGTCAAGCATTTTTTATTTAAAAAAAAAAAAAAAAAAGGAAAGGTCTAATGGTAAAGTATGCAGTCTACACATGCTACAGCTAACTGCTCACGCCCTCCCCCTCACATTATATATATGTAGGTAATTTGTGTGTGTGTCGAAGGCAAACAACCACCACCACCAGAACTTGTCAGTCTGCCGACAGGGTATAAACATGCTGAATACCCAGGGCCCTCCTGCTACGCCACGATGAGCAGGAAGCAGGTGCCAGAGCCTACTGTTCCTGGAGAGACCCAAGAAACGGCCTTGTTCCTTGGTGGCTCCCTGCAGCAGGGCACATGGGTGGCAGCTAAGGTGACCACGGTTTATCACCACCCTGTATGTGAGAGGGGCGTTACTACTAATTACACAGACACAAAGGCATCAACAGGCATACAGTTGGGGTAAAAACATGGACAGTACAGGTGTATGGGAATCACTTATTGCTGTAATCAATCGGTGAGGACACCTTTTGCACGTTAGATCTGAAAGTGAAGGCCTCTTCAAGGTCAAAAGAGATTGAGCTCCTCATCCCTGATAGGAGCCAAGAGGGCGGACTTTGGAGTGGAGAGGAAGCTGGGACGCTGTAAGACGATGATGAGGGGCTCAATCAACTTAGTAGGGGAGCACCAGGAACCAGACATCCCGCAGCGGAGCTGGATGGCCCAGCCTGGACAAAGGGGGCTCAAGGCAGCCCCTGAGCAGGCCAGGGTTATGGTGCTTCTGGAGCTCTGCCTGGGTGGTGGACAACTCAGACATCATCATCTTGCTCATGGCAGGAGCAATTCTTTCAGGCCAAGGAAGTGTTCCCCACACGCTCAGGCTGCAATGCAAGCCGCCTTACATTCACTGGGGCCATAGCCTAGCACCAGGACATCTGTGGTCTGTGGTACAGTATGGCTGTCTGCTGTATACACAAAAGCCCCGAAGATGAGGCCTGGACAGTCAGCAGTGGGGAGACAAGATGGCCACATAGGGCTCAGGCTGTCTGGGGCCCATTATCACAGACAAAAGAAAAGGGCAAGACCTCCCAGGGGATGGCCGACAGCAACACTAAGAGACCCACACACAGTCACAAACGTCTGTGTCCTTGATGATGAAGTTAAGCCACCACCTATTTGAGCCCAAAGTAAACACTCGCCCATCCATCCCTCACCCAGGGGCCCTCCCGAGTCCTGGGGAGATTTAGCACCTGCCCTTTAACATGGCAAGTGTGTTCTCCACCTTCTACCTGCTGATGAAATCCCCAGTGGGCTTTGGAAAGGCTTAAGGCCAAGAACTTGACCTTACAGCTCATTACATGGAGGAGTTTTATGGCAGGGGCTTCAAAGGGACTACTATAAGCCTGGGACAGTCTCTAGCAATTTCCTGGGAGGATAGGGGCTCTTGCTAGGTCTCAGCCTGGGACAATGATATAAACCCACAAATGGCAAAGATTCAGAGCACAACATTTGTACCAATGCCTATTTTATCAAGTGGTGGTGCTAAACTTGATTTTTCAAAAAAAAAAAAAAAAAAAAAAAAAAATCAGTGGCACCATGTCTTTTTGCAAAGATGGAAGATAAAGTAGTTATCATGAGGTCATAAGCGGGGGTCAGGGGAGAAATAAGGCCCCACTGCTGCCCACCTTTTGGGCTGGCATTTAGCTTGTGATCTACTGAAATGTTTGACCAAACGGTGGAGGGGGAGACACCTGAACTCAGAGGGAGGGTCACCCGTGTCTCTTGAAGCCCTGTGAGCATTTTACTGCTGACGGCAGAGGATACATCATGGGCCTGGGGGAGGGAAAAAAATACTGGACTAGAGTTCCAATGTCACTATGGGGACGAGACTGGGCATGTGGCTCCACCCCCTGAAACTCAATGTTCTCACTACAAATCCGGGGCAGATGCTGTCCACCTCACGGGGTTGTCATGACTGAAGCTGAAGGAGGGAGCGTGTTTAAGCGCCGGTAACCTGCCCGGTGCTAGGCGTGGAAGCAGTCACCATGGCCTTGGATAACTCCATGGTGGAGCGTTGCATGTTCCACTGACTGCCCCCGGACTAGGGACAGCAGGAACGTCGCTGGCCCTCAAGCCCACCCACTCCAGCCGCCTGGGGAAGTGTCCACCAAGGTAGCAGGAGCTGGATGCAGGAGTCCTATGGCCACAGATGTGACCCGAGGAAAGAAGAGAGGAATGTGGCTTCAGTACCTACAGCTCACGCTAGCAGAGGAAAACAAAACAAAACAAAATCCAACTCTTCCCTGGGCAGGAAAATTGTCTGCCCACAGGGAGGCAGAGCCAGTCTGTTCCCACCCAGCTGGCCACTGGGAGGAGGGAACAAGGCCAGTGACAAACTCCTTCCATGGAGTCAGCAGACTGAAGTCACAGCCAGGGATGAAGCCACACACATCCCGGTGTGTCTAGCACCAAGCACAGAGTAGGTGCTCACGAAATACATGGAAACAAAAGCAAATCAGCAAAAAACATGTTGGGTTTTGTTTTCTGAATTGTGGTCAAATCCCACTTAACAGCTCTGCAAAAGCTGTTTGAACCCAAGTGCGTCAAAAACTCAGGAAAACTATGCTACTGCAGGGGTGGGAGTGGGGCAGCTCTGCAAAGCCCTCCCCCAGGCCCTCCTCCAGGGCCTGAGAACAGGAGGACCCTGTCCTGACAGTCTCTGGGGTGGGAGTTGCAGGGCTGCTGGAGATGGGAGGAGGCTCTGGGCAGAAGCACTCAGAGCCAAGTGTCACTCAGAGCAGGACTGGGGCGTGGGGCGCAGAGGAGGCTATTTGCACAGAATCTTTGGCACTGCAATGGATGGCAGCATCCCCAGGAATGCTGGCTCTGTGGTCCCAAGAGCGCGGCCCGCAGCACACTGTAAGCTGGGGGTCCCTGGGAGGGGCGGGGGCAGGTTGGAGTAGCCTTGCTTCCGCAGGGTGGAGTAGGAGAGGAAGGGGCTTTGTGTGCTAACCCCCAAGGTGGCCGGCTTCACAGTGGGAAGAGCTCTGCCCTGGGAGCTAGAACCCGCGGGTCCTCGAAAGTTCTGCAAGGCCCACGCAGTGCCTCTTTAAGCCTCAGTTAACCCCATCTGTCCAAATGGGTGGAAGGAGTTCCCTGGGTTCCTCCCAAGGAGAAAACAGCCAGGTAGAGTGTCTGACAAAATAAAAGGAAGGAAGAAAACTATACACATACCATAGCAGGGCAGGGACAGGAGGAGTCTGCCTGCCCTTGGAGGCTCTGTCCCGTCAGGGGCTACTGCTTGCCATGCTTGCTTTGATGGAGAGCCAGTGCTGGTCCCTGAGCCACCAGGGCCCCTCAAGGCTGGCCGTGAGACCACCTCAGCTCCCCTTGCACCGTAAGTGCTGTCCTACAGCGGGACGAGCACAGGAGCAAGGAGCAGGGCTCTGTGCCAACGACTAGAGACCCAGGCACCCTCTGTCTTGGAGAAGCAGGTGCAGAGAGCCTAGGGTAGCCTGTGACACATGGCACAGTTGGGTTGGAGGGATGTGGGGAGGTGTGGGAGCAGCCGCAGTGCCCCCTCACCTATACTATAAGGAAGTCACCTGGGACACCTGTTCTTGGTACCCGGCCAGCTCTGTTCTCTTCCCTGCTTGGTTAGCCTCTTACAGAGGGAAGAGCACAGGCATTGAAGCCAGGCAGGTCTGGGTTCTAATCCTCTTTCCTCCTCTCCCTGGCAGTGTGCCCTTGGGCACATTGAACCCGAGTTTCCTCATCTGTAAAATGGGTACATTATAAGGAAGGGTTACCCCATGAATGCAAAGTGTCAAGTACAGAGCCTGGCACCTAGTAGCTACTCAGCAAAGGGGTGCTCACAGGAGGCACACCTTGTGAATGGCCCCTTGATTCAAACAACCTTGTGACTCTTGTCTAGGGAGACGAAAATGAAACACCCCGTGTTGGGGGGTGGCAACTCTTATTTAAAAGCCCTGGACAGATGGGAGCCTGCAGCAGGAAAGTCCCACAAGCGCGGTCCCAAGTTAGAGGATGGGACGCAGGGTGGCCGAAAGGACCTCCGGGCTCACTCCTGGGGATGCTGCATCTTGCTGGACCTCAGAGGCCCATGGGCCCCAGGCCTCGGGAAGAGCAGCCTTTCCTTGAGATTGGCCATGGACTTGACTTCTACAGGATGTGGTCCTTTCTGGCACCAGGCATTTTGGAAAGAGGGTGGGTAAAGCCACATGGCTTTTGGAAACGTGGAGAAGTCAGAGCAAGTCATCCTGAATTGCGTGGGACATCCCTCGCTGTGCCTCATCCAAGCCATGAGACCTCCTCTGGAGGTTCTGCAGCAGCAGATTCTGTCTCATCCTGGGGGCCTGGGTGGGTCATTGTCCGCTGCGGATGGCAATGCCACTGGCTGGAGGAGGAGTTCCCAGAAGGCAGGCCATGCTGATGTGGACAGAGCCAGGGCTGTGGCTTCGGAGCCTGTAGAGGGTGCTGTGATGGGAGGCATCAGACTCCCCTACCCTCCACCCCCCACCCCCCACCCCCCAGCTCCTGACGTCTCAGCAACTCGCTCAGCACCCAGGGGAGGGACGAAACCACAGGACTCCGGGTCTTCCTTCCTTGGAAGCTGCATGGAGAATGATAAATTAAGAGGCATATTAAATACGTGGGTAACCAGCAGGGACTGCGGGGCATGGAGGCTGAGGGGACAGCCTACAGCTTCTTGCGGAGATAGTTGGAAGGGATCCAGCCTTCCCAGGAAGGCGCCCCGCTCAGGACCTGGCAGAACCACCAGCCGCTGCTGTTCTTCTCCCGGACTTCGAACACCGTCCCTTCCTGGAAGCTGCTGGTGTCTGCGTCTCCTTCAAAGTTGGCCACAGCCACATACAAAGAATCCTTGGGGCCATCGGCGTTGGGGAAGGAAGCGGCAATGGCCTTCTCTCTGTGGTCCCCCACCCTGCCAGCACCCCACGGGCCTCGCACATCCTCTTGGCCTCCCGGGGAGTTGGAGAGAAATGGTTTGGCTTTCGGAGGAACTAGCAGGGGACGGCCTGGGGCAGGAGCTGCCTTGCTATCGTGGGCTTCGCGCTGTGGGCTTCGGACCTCTGGGAGGGGCCTGGATGAGGAGGACCCGGATGTTTTCTTGGGTGGAGGTGGTCTGCGGGGTGGGACCGCTGGCCTCTGAGCTTCCTGGAGAGGGACGGGCACGGTCTTGGGCGTGGGCTCTGTGTTCTTGGCCGGTCGCGGAGGAGCCCGGCAGGCTGCTTCCTTTGGGCTGAGCCCATCTTGTCTGCCCAGCCTGTCCTGGACGCGGCCAGGTGCTTCCCCAGAGAGGAAGTTTCGGCTAAAGACCGCATCCTGGCCCCCAGGAGCTGGGTGGGCCTCGCCATCCAATGAGGCTTTTTCTGGGGCCTTGGCAGGCCTGAGCTTGCTCCTGAGGTTGCAGATGTCCACTTGGTCTTCACCCTGAGGTGGCTCTGTCCTGGGGGAGGGAGATGGTTTGGGCCTAACCTGAGGTCTGGACTTTAAGAAAGGGTTCTGGGGTGCAGCTTCCGGCTTCTCGTCGGGCACTTCGGCCTTGGACTTGGGCACGGGCCGGAGGTTGGGCTTCTTGACCTCCTTGGCCAGCACCTTGTGGCCGCACTCCAGCCCCATGTCGTTCTTCAGCTGGAACACCTTGCTTTTGTCGGGTCTGGGCTCCAGTCTCCTGCTGTCCCGGGCCGGGGACGCATGCTTGGCCGGCACCATGGGCAGGATCATGCCCGGGGCCTTGGGCGACGAGCCCCGGAGCTGCTCCAGCCTCTGCCGCTCCCGCTCCAGCAGCTCCCCTTCTGACTTGATGATGGACTCCTTGCGCGGAGGGAGGCTGGGCTTCTCCTCCAGGTCGGGGTCCGAGATTTCCTCGTAGCCTGCCGACGCGGACATGTCTGAAGATGCTTTACGCAGGACGTCCTTCCCACCCTTCCAGTCTTTGGACCATGGCATCCCCAAGTCCACGGCACCATGCGGTGCCTCGGGCAGGGGCCGGGAGGGCCCGACAGCCTCGCCTCCTGGACTGTTCTCCATCGCGGCTGTGTCCCCAAGCCGGAGCTGGGCCACCTCGTGGGGGAGGGGAGCCAGGAAGTTGGGTCTCGAGGCATTGCTGGTCTTCTTGTACTTGTCAATGAAGGTTGCTGGGGCCCAGCCCTCCTTATCTTCAATCTGAATGTACCACCAGCCACTCAGGTTCTTCTCGATCACCTGGAAGGGAGGACAGAGGGCAGCGGCTGAGTGCAGACCTGCAGCTTCTAGAGCTTGGATTTGGGGTGGGCTCTCCCAGACCCTGTGGTCCTCTGGCCCGGGGACCAGCAATCAGCTGCTTCTCCTATAACGTCTACAGGAGCCAGCCACAGAGATGCTGCCATGTACCGGGGACATCTGCCGTGGGGGCAGGATCTTGTCCCACCCTGGACTCCCCTAGGTAGCGGTCCCTGAGATGAGGACTTGGGGTCAGGCAGACCATGGGAGAGGCAATTCCAGGAAGCATGTGGTAAAAGTGAGAAGGTGAGGGGAGGGCCAGCCATGAGAAAGGCCTGACTGGGGTCACTGGGCTGTAACTGATCAGGGACCCTCTGAGATACCAAGAGGGTGGTGCCTCAGCAGGGTCGCGTGGGACATGGGGGCATTCATCTCCTGACTCCCAGTCCCTCCCCACTGTTGTGTGACCCTCCCTCCCCTCCTGAGGGGCAGGGAGCTGTCAGCCTGCAGGGCCCTGTGTGTAGCTGCAGGTTAATCCAGGTGGGTCAGGACACGAGCAGTGCTGCTAGTTTTAAAGTACAGAGCAAAAGCCACATACAAGTGTATTTCAAAAAGTTCTTGGAAAATAGAATTAGAAGGTATTTTTATTTTGGTGCAAAACTTTTTTGAAATCCACACACAGTATTTTTAATTTTCCACACAAGTTTGAGAATGCTCCCATATGTATGGATTTCAAAACTGTATATCAAAATAAATTTACCTGGCTGGCGCCGTGGCTCAATAGGCTAATCCTCTGCCTAGCGGCGCCGGCACACTGGGTTCTAGTCCCGGTTGGGGCGCCGGATTCTGTCCCAGTTGCCCCTCTTTCAGGCCAGCTCTCTGCTGTGGCCCGGGAAGGCAGTGGAGGATGACCCAAGTGCTTGGGCCCTGCACCCCATGGGAGACCAGGAGAAGCACCTGGCTCCTGGCTTTGGATCAGCGTGGTGCGCTGGCCGCAGCGCGCCAGCCGTGGCGGCCATTGGAGGGTGAACCAACAGCAAAAGGAAGACCTTTCTCTCTGTCTCTCTCTCTCACTGTCCACTCTGCCTGTCAAAAAAAATTTACCTTTTAAAATTTTATTTATTTTTAAAGATTTATTTATTTATTTGAGAGTCAGAGTTACAGAAAGAGGTGGAAAGACAAACAGAGAGAGCAAGATCTTGCATCTACTGGTTCACTCCCTGGATGGCTATAACAGTTAGTTCTGGGCCAGGCCAAAGCCAGAAGCCAGGAGTGTCATCCGGGTCTCCCATGTGGGTACAGGAGCCCAGCCACTTGGACCACCTTCCCCTGCTTTCCCAGGCCATTAGCAGGGAGCTGGATTGGAAGTGGAGCAGCCAGAACACAAACTAACACCCATTTGAGATACTGGTGCTGCAGGTGACAGCTTTACCTGCTACGCCACAGAGCTGGCCCAAACTCACCATTGTTTTTGAAAAAAATGACTTATTTATTAATTTGAAAGAAGAGAGAGAGAGAGAGAGAGAGAATATATCTCCCATCTGCTGTTCACTCCCCTGGTGGCCACAAAGCCAGGGGCCAGGAAGTCCATCCAGGTTGCCGATGTGTGGCAGGAACCCATGTACTTGGGCCATTATCCACTGCCTCCTGGCACATCAGCGGGCAGATTAGTCATGAAGTAGATAAGGTGCCTGGCACAGAAGAGGTTCCCTCCTCCTCCTCCTCCTCCTCATCATCATCATCATCATCATCACATCTTGATGACAAACAGCCTAGAGGAGGAACCAAGGTGCTCCTAGTGGCCCTAGAATGCTGTGGATCCAATAACAAATTCTGAACACTAAGATGAGGCTGAGAAGAACCAAGAAGCAAAACTGAAGAGGAAAACAGAGCACATGGAATTTATTATAAGAAAAGAGCATCTGATTAGGCCAAAAACTTTAGTGACATCCAGCTATCACTGGCAGAGCCTACGCTGACATCATGAAAGAATAAAGCGGAAAAGCTTCCAGGACGGGCTGCATTTGTGCTTCCTGGAGAAGAACGTTGGCTGAGCTCGTCACTGGCTCAGCTCGAGCGCAAGTAAGACAAAGGGCAGAAAGAAACGAGGGGAACAGTGCTGGTTGAGGTGAGGGTGGGGCTCAGAGAGAGACTCCCTAATGCCTCCAGAAAACACCAGGGGCCTATTAAGCCCCGGCTGCAGCCAGCATTGCCTTGAACCGCAGTGCCTGTGCATGGCGTGCGGAGGGGCCCCTGGCCAACTTCTGAGGCATCTGAGCCCCACAGCCCCACAGCAGCAGTGCTGTTTGATTGCCAGCAAGCTCTAACAATGATGTGTTTGTAGAAAGCGCTGGAAACTCACTGTCAAAGGCTGTATCTTAAGTAAGAAAAAGGTTTCGTAATGTTTGCAGCTCTCTGGGAAAGAAACCCCTTGTAACATGCACATTGGAACTCTGGTTTCAAGACAGGAGACAGGGCAGCTTCCCCTGTAGGCAACAAACACAGGGAAGAGAGCAGCGGATCCAAAGCTAAGGTCAGGAGGAGGAAGGGGGAAAGGCAGTGGGTCTGGGAGGGAGGCTGCGGCCCAAGACTGCTGCACCAGGTGGGGGACTTCATGGTGATGGGACCTGGGGAGAGGGAAGGCCCGGGGTGACTGGCAGGAAATGAATGGGGATAACGAGGCAGAGCAGCCGGAGGCTGGCCCTCCTCAGTGCCCTCTGTCACGTTCTTGTTGTGTCCAAGCACAACAGCAAAGAAGGAGAAACGGTGAGTGTGGAGGCTTGGATCAAACGCTGCTCAGTAGCTAGCGCCGAAGCCGGTGATCTGGCACCGAAACCAGTGGAAGCAGACTAGCTGCTTGTGAATGAGGGGGTCTTCAAAAAGTTCACAGAAAACACCTATGATGAAAAAACTATGCAAGGATTTCAAATTTTTGGTACCAAAATAAACTTATCTTTTAATATCATTTTCCTTGATCTTTTGGAAATCTCATAGACCCCCACTGGGGCTGACTGCTGAATCTCTCTCTCTCTCTCTCTCTTTTAAGATTTATTTATTTGAAAGCCAGAATTACAGAAAGAGTGAAGGAGAGACTCACAGAAAGATCTTTCATCTGCTGGTTCACTCCCCAAATGGCTGCAATGACCAGGGCTGGGCCAGAACAAAGCCAGGAGCCAGGAACTTCATCCAGGTTTCTCATGTGGGTGAGGGGCCCAGGGACTTGGGCCATCCTCTGCTGCTTTCCCAGTCACATTAGCAGAGAGTTGGATAGGAAGTGGAGCAGCTGGGACTGATATGGGATGCTGGCACTGCAGGCTGCGACCTAACCCACTATGCCACAGCGCTCGCTCCCTGCTTCATCTTCTAACACAGCTCAAGACAACAGCTAGTACCATGAAAACACTGGAAATAAATAACAATACTACTGCAAAGAATTCACAAATGGGAAAAAAGAGATAAAAAATTATAATAACAGAATCTTATTTATTTTTTTTTTGACAGGCAGAGTTAGACAGTGAGAGAGAGAGAGAGAGTGAGAGAGAAAGGTCTTCCTTTCCATTGGTTCACCCCCCAAATGGCCACTATGGCCAGTGCACTGCACCAATCCGAAGCCAGGAACCAGGTGCTTCTTCCTGGTCTCCCATGCGGGTGCAGGGCCCGAGCACTTGGGCCATCCTCCATTGCCTTCCTGGGCCACAGTAGAGAGCTGGACTGGAAGAGGAGCAACCGGGACAGAATCCGGCACCCTGACCGGGACTAGAACCTGGGGTGCCGGCGCTGCAGGCGGATTAGCCTAGTGAGCCACAGCACTGGCCATATAACAGAATCTTAAATGAAAAATAGTTGACTTCCTTACAGAGACACAGAAGGGCATCAAATTCATGATGGAACACATGAAACAAGAACAGGTGACTATGAAAAAGAATCAAGAAGAGCTGTTGGAAATGATAACTGTAACTGTTAAATAAGTGTCTGCCTAAATGTCCACTCTGGGAAGATGACTTTAGATCTGGAATTCAACACTAAAACAGGCATTGCAGAGGGCAAAATGACAACAATTTTCATATTGCCAAGAAAGCATTGTGTGTAGAAGTGGGGAACTGCCCTTGGTTAAGAACACACAGTAATAAGAGGGGACCATTTGTGGAAAAAATGGAATTGGAAACTAAGTTCATTTTAAGGTAAAGCATTCAGGAATCCATGCATCATTTTTTCATAGTACACATTTTTTCATAGTACCGCCCATGAGCTTTTTGAAGACTCTTTGTAAGCGGCCCCCTGGGTGCTAACACTGGGTAGGTATGATGGGAAACCAATGCAAACTGGCTTCCTGGAGGAGGCAGAGGGATTTGAAGAGTGAGTTAGATTTTGATATGCCAAATTCAGTTGGAAAAATGGATTTGAGGGCCTTGCCTAAGAGGGCAGGATGAGCTGGGGAAAGGAAGGTCATTCCTGGCAGAGTGAGGTGGGAAGGGCTGGCCTGACCAGCGGGGAGAATAATAACCCCATCTCAAGTCAACAGTCACAGGATTCAGCAAGACGGAGCATGGGCCCAGCACCTGATCAGTGCTGGCTGGGGTCTGAATGTGTCCCCGCAGAGTTCAGGTGTTGGAAGCTTAACCCCCAAATCCATGTGTTGTTTGGAGGTGGGGCCTTCGGGAGGACACTGGGATCAGGTAGGGTCCTGAGGCTCCCATGACATGAGTGGCTTTGTAAGAGGAAGAGCAACTGAGCCAGCGCTGGCTCTTCACTGCCATGGGACGCCCTCTGCCATGTGATGATACAGAAGGAGGCCCTCGCCAGATGCCGACCCAGCCTCTAGGACTTCCCAGAACTGCGAGTCAAATAGCTTCTATTCTTTATAAACTACCTGGTCCCAGGCATGTTGCTATAGCAACAGATGACAGAGGGCTAAATGTGAGCCGTTATCATTTTTACTCTCATTTTAGGTACATACAAGCCACATACACACACACCAACCCCTAAGCCAGGAAGTCTACACAAAGGTGACTGAGTTTGCACTGAAACTTGAAATGATGACCAGGAGTTCAGCACAGCCATGTGGGCATCCTAGGAGTTTTCTGCAGTTAAATAGCTCCTGTGTTCGGGGGCTCACAACCCAACTGGATGAATTTATTAATTCAACAAATGTTTAGTGAGAATCTGCCATAAGCCAGGCTTTGTGCTGTGTTCACTGCTGTGAACAGACATGATCCCTGATCTCAAAGAGTTTATGTTCTAGTGGAGGAAATGAACTACAATATACCCACTCACCTTTCACCCACCTACACACCTATGCAACCAACCAACCAGGACCCTCAAGAAGAAGTATGGGGCTCTGGCACGTCAGGGGAGGAAGAAAGCACCCGCGGCAAAGGTGACTGGCCAGGGCATCCTGAAGCTACAGAGGGAGGGCAGACCAAGGTGGAGGCAGGGACCTTACAGATACCTAGAGACCTTACGGACACACCATCCCTGAAGTGTGGCCAAGAGAGTGAAGATAAACCTGTAGCCAGAACTGGGGGGCTTGGGTCCCACTATCAGCTCACCAGATGATGATCAGTTTCTTCATCCATCAAATGGGGCCACACGCTGAAAGCTCCCAACAAAGCTGGGGCGAGGGGAGCTGAGATACTGTGGTCCCGGGACTTCTGCAGTCTACAGCTGTTGAAGCAGATCCTCCTCTCTCTCCTGGTGGCAGCAGCCCGCTTTCCCCTGGGCCTCCATTCATCCCACGTGAGACGCAGGGGTGGGAATGTGAGGTGGGCTGGCCAGACACCCTGAGGCTGGGGCCTATTCTGCCTCCACCTCACTTTGGGATTGCTGAGACAACAGGCTACAGTCTAGAGCTGCGGGGGCCATTCTCCTTGCTCTTGGAACAAAGTCTGATTAAAGCCAACTTAGAAGAGAATGGAGATGAGACAAGGAAATATGAAGCCCTGTTTACATGCAAAGAACCAGCCCTGTCTGCAAGCACACTCACAACCCCTGCATCCTGGTGGTGGTGGTGGTGATGGTGATGACGGTGATTTCTGCCCAGGCAGTCTGCCTATACTGATGGAAGATTCCTATGAACCTACTTTAAAACATGCTTTGAGAAGCTAAACATTCACTTGCTCAATTCCTGTCTTTATAAAGTCTCCATCCAGCTACCGCCCTCTTTCTTGCTGTCTCTCATAACTAGGTCCTCATGTTTTGCAGTCAATGCCTTACTTCTTCACCTCCCACTCACTTCCTTCCCTGGTGATCTGGGTGATGGTCCCACCTCTCCACTGAGCTCTTCTTGCAAAATGGCTGGTGACTTCCCTCCTGGCTCACGAACGTGCCTGTACAGGCGTTACCCCATACATGGCTCCTGCCTCCATCAAATGTCCTACCTGCTCTTGGTTTTGCCGCCACTTCCTTTTGCTTTTCAGACTCTCCTGCACCTGCCGGACCATCCTTCCAATACCCATCTTCTCAGGGTTTCTACCCCAGCCCTCTCAGACTCTCACTCTTCATTCAAAAAGTCAGTAGGAAAATGAAAGTAAAAAGATAAATTTATTCTGGTGCAAAGAACTATGAAATCCATGTCTATGAAAAGTCTTCATATAGTTCTTAGAAAATGCATATGATAAAAAAAAAAAAAAACTGTGCCTGGATCTCAGAATTTTTGCATGAACACAAATTTATCTTTTAGTTCCACTGCCCACAGACTTTCTGAAGTACCTTCATACTGATCACTAGGCTATGGACTCCAAAATGTTGAACTTGAGACACGCATGTCCAAATACCTATCAATGCCTACATCTGTGCGCTCATCAGCCGGCTGCACCTCCTCATGTGGTCTTCTCCCCCAAACCCTATTCCTCCCCAGTCCTGCTGGAATGACGTCTTAAACGCCCCCATGTTTTTACATGGTAGGCACTCAATATATGTGTGCACAATGAACAACAATGTAGTTTTCTATCACAGGTTAAAATTCAATTCAGAATGTTCCTGAATTCCACCACTCCAGCCCTTAACTCAAGTAATAGCGAAGGGAAAACACAGAAAGATTGCTTCTTCCTGGAACATTGTGATGCTTCGATGCCTCTCAAAGCTAAGGCTGGAGGAGATGTGATTGATGGGCTAGAAGGACACCGTGGCCACGGAATGCAGAGATAAGCTTTTAACTGACTACACAGGGCAGCCTGGGCCAGACAGCGTCTGATGGAGCAGCTGGCAAGCTAGTGGGGGTCGGGGAGGAAGGAAGGCACCCACAAGGGGATGCTGGAGTGGGCTGGGCAATGGTGCCTGTGGTCTGGGCTGTCAAACTGTGCCCTGTGCTAAGCATGAGCTGTGCTATGTCTCAGAGGAGCAAGCAGGGTGAAGACAACTCCCCATGGGGCCGGTGCTATGGCAAAGTAGGCTAAGCCTCTGCTTGTGGCACTGGTATCCCATGCAGGTGCTGGTTTGAGTCCTGGCTGCTCTACTTCCAATCCAACTCCCTGACAATGCACCTGGGAAGGCAGCAGAAGATAGTCCAAGTGCTTGGGCCCCTGCACCCACGTGCAAGACCCAGAAGAAGCTCCTGGCTCCTGGCTTTGGATCGCCTCAGCTCTGGCTGTTGTGGCCATTTGGGGAGTTCTGAACCAGTGGATGGAAGAAGATCTTTCTGTCTGTCTCTCCCTGTCTGTCTGTAACTCTGCCTCTCAAATAAATAAATAAATAAAGAACAAAACAAGACAACTGCCCAGGGCCCAGGCACACACCAGCACAGAAGTTAATGGGGAGTGCTCCAAGAGTTTGCCCCGGGAACCGGTAGGGGCCTCGGCTGTCCCTTGGTACCCGCAGGGCAGGCATTAGTTCCAGCACCCCTTGTGTATTCTGAAACCCACAGATGTTCAAGCCCTCCTATAAAGGGGCACAGTGTTTTGCATACAACCCACGCACCCCTCCTGTATCCTTTAAGTATGGAGAGATGACTTACAATCCCTAATACAATGCAGATCCTATGTGAAGGGTCATCAGGCTGTATTGTTTAGGGAACAAAGACAAAGTCTGTACCTGCCTGGGACACAGGCCATGTTTTTCTGAGTAGTTCTGGTCTGCAGTCAGTGAGTCTTATGGGTATAGAACCTGTGGCTCTTACACATGCTGCAGGGATGAGTAAGGGAACTGCTTCCTGAGATGGGCTTTAAAGATTTATTTACAGGGCCAGTGCTGTGGCTCAGCGGGTTAAAGCCCCAACCTGCAGCATCAGCATCCCATAAGAGTGCCGGTTCAAGTCCTGGCTACTTCCAATTCAGCTCTCTGCTAATGCTGTTGCAGCCATTCAGGGAGTGAACAGAGTGACAGAGAAAAAGGAGAGAGATCTTCCATCTGCTGGTTCACTCCTTCAATGGCCAGGGCTGGGTAACGCCAAAGCCAGGAGCCAGGAACTTCATTTAGGTCTCCCACTTGGGTGCAGGGACTCAAGTAATTGAATTATTTTCCACTGTTTCCCCAGGCATATTAAAAGGAAGCTGGATCAGAAGTGGGGCAGCTGGGACTTGAACTCGTGCCCCGATGTGGGATGATGACATTGTAAGTGGTGGATTAACCCTCTGAGCCACGACGTCAGCCTCTCCCCTGCTTTAGAAAACTCTCAAGAAACATCTTTGCCTGTGGATTCTAATCCCTGGTCCATGTTGCAATCCCAGCACTTACAGGCTCTCTTGGGGGCCTGGGAACACCTTTGAACTCTAACCCCAAAAACGGGGAAAGGAAAACTGCAGCAGCAGTCGCGATTGAGGCTGGCCTTTATGCAGGGGATGTAGCAGATGAGCAGAGAAGTGGGAAGGAAAGCAGAGAGGAGACGCGAGAAGTGAACTCAGGGGCGACAGGAGGAACACAAGGCAGCCACAGCAGATCACACGTCGTGTGATTCCACTCCTGTGCCACGTCTCGGACAGGTACATCCAGAGATAGAAAATCGGCCAGTGAGAGGGGCCGAGGGGAAACAGGGTGGGGCTGCTAACGGGCCAGGGAGGACTTTTTATTCTGGAATTGGCCAGCGGTGGGGGCCACACAACTGTGTGGATCCACAAATAAGTGGGTTTCACACGTCACATTGGTGGACCACACAGTATGTGAATTACAGTTCACTAAGCAAAAGGAGGAGAGAGGAGAGCAGCAGCGGGTGCAGCTGGGAGTCAGGTGGGGAGTGGCAGGGACGCGCAGGCCCACTGACCTCAACCTTCAGGCCGGCCTGGAAGCTGATGCCATCGGGGATGGTGGTCTGGAACTCGGCGATGGTGTAATACTCCTCTTCCACTTGTGGTGGGATGGGTGGCTTGGGCAGGTTGAGGCCTCGAGGCTGCCACGATTAAACACAGGGCTGCGTTACCCTGATGCTGAAGTGGGGTGGGGAGGGGACCATGGGACTGGGGCGCGCAGTCACCCTCGGATGGACCCTGGGAAGCCTATCCCCATTCTAAGGACCAAAAAATACAGAGGGTCACTCAGATCATCATCTCCTGATGAGACCTCGTGGGCCCTTCAACTTCACAGTGACGAGAAGCAACATAGGATGCTGAGCTACACTGAGACTATGGGGGCACGACAAGAGCCTCTGCATTCAGGAGGCCGTGACGGTTGTGGAAGGAACACAGGCTTGCCAGTCAGATCCACGAGGGCTGCAAACACTGATGATGCGTGCAATCCTGGGCAAATCACCTCCTCTTCTGGACCTCAGTTTTATTCCTTGTGGAATGCGCACATCAACATTACCTACCTGTGGGAGCTGTTCCAAGTATTAAACCAGTTAATGTAGGAAATTACTGAGTACACAGCATGGTATATAGTAGGTGCTCAATAAATGGAAGACTTAAAAAAAAGAGGCTCATTTTTCAAAGTACACGTTGAATATCTCTTAACTGACATCCTTGGGACTGGAAATATTTTGGATTTTTGGACTTTTTTCAAATTTTGAAAATATTTGAATTTCAAAATTTTGAAATATTTGCACTTATACAAAGAGATGTCTTGGGAAGAATATCTAAGTCCAAACATGCAATTAAATCATGTTTCATGCACACCTTATACACACGGATTGGCGGTAATCTCACAGGCTATTTTTAATAATTTTGTGCATGAAACAAAGCTTCATGGTATGGAATTTTCCATTTGTGGCATCATGTTTCTGCTCAGAAAGCTTCAGATTCTGGAACTTCTGCAGTATCTTTGGGCTAGGCATGTTCAACCTGTACGGGTTAGAAAGGAGCCTACAGGATTTCACAACAGAGAACACTGGAATGGCGCCTGGGCCTCGCCAAAGCCTGGGCCTCAAGTTGCCAGATCAGAGAAGACTGATCTAAGGCAGCGAGAGGTGGGCCCAGGAGGCAGGTGCCGAGGCCTACTCGTCACAAGTACACTTTGGAACCTCAGCAAACTGTTTCCCCTGCCTGGCCCTCAATTCTTTCCAGCTGCTGATGGGCCCAGCAGCCTAACTCACAGGCTGTTGTGTGGACAGGAAAGAGAGCACCCCAGGAAAACGCAAGGGCGTGCTAGTGGCCAGCAGTTATTCACGACACCCGTCAGGCTGGGGCCAGCTCCCAGTAGCAGGAGTGCACTTACAATGGTCATGTCCCGGCGAGGGGGCGGTCTCTGCCTCATCTTTGGCGATCCTGTGGAAAAACCAGATCTCATTTCACTGCTGAGCAGGCTTGCACATATAAAATTCCTGAAGCAGGATCCGGGGAAGAGGTCTCCTGCAGCAGACCTGGCACAGGCTTTGTACGGGGGTCAGCACGGCAGCCCTTCCCGCGAGAACAGCCTGATCAGAGGGGCTGCTCGCGTTGGGCTCAGGGCCCTGGATCTTTCCTATGCAGGAATGAAAGGGGCGGTGCAGAGTCCTCGAGCAGGGCAATGCTGCCCAGGAATGGCCAAAAGCATGGGCTTCAGGATAACACAGAGGAAGGGCCCAACCCAGCTCTGGGGCCTTCTGAGGGTGGACAAATTACTCCAGTCTTTGAGGCACAAGATCCTGTCCTGTACAACAGGCACAGTGTGTGTCTCCCAGGGGCAGCGGTGCAGACGGACATCTACAACGTCTGTGAGGCTCTTGGCACGTGGCAGCCACGTGAGACATGTCACGACGCACAACCACACTGACCCAAGCACGCCTGGGCTGATGATTTCAGGGGTTTCCACTCTGGAGTTGGGCTGCCCTGGCTCTGGATCTCAGCATCACAAGGAGGCTCTTGGCTCTAGGCAGATGGTGGAGGTCTCATCATGTGCATGGTCTGCACAGAGGCAGCTGGACATCTGGGGTGTACAGGAGAGGGCTACTCCCTCAAATACCCATTTCCCTGTTCTTCTATCAGAATAAACAGCAGCAGAGTTTTAGCCTTGATAGCATTTTAGCCTATAGAAAGACGACATTCCTCAGACTTCCTTGCAGCTATGTGTTGCCATGTGACTAAGTTCTGGCTAAGGGCACATGAGAGAAAGAGGAATGCACGTGGCTTGAGTTGTGCCCCTCTGTGTTACCAGGAATCCCCCTGTGCTCTTGGCCATGACAGTTTAGAATCACAGAAACACAGGGCTGGCCAAAAACTGTATCACAAGCAAACACTGCAGTGTGTGCGTGTTTTCTCAAGGTGGCCAAGCAGAGACTGCAAAGCTTGGCTGAGGACTCAAGAAGTTCGCTGCCACTTGGTAGAAGCAGCAGGGGCACCACCTCCTCTCTGTGTAGCTGGAAGCCCTGCCCCCAACGACCAGCACGGCCCTTGTGCCAGAGCCTTGGGTACGATACAGACTGCAGTGATGAACCCTACTCTCGTGGGAAGTGGGGCACATTAAATGGTAAAGTACATGCCGGGAGGCTTTAAAAAGCAAGAGGGTTGAAGTCCTATCATTCTAGCAAACCCAACACAGGGCTGATGACTTCTTCCTCCGGCTCAGATACCGACAGTGCACAGGTACGAGCTGCCTGGGTTCAAGTCCTGGTGCCAGCATTTTACTAGGTGGGGGCCTTGGATACACTACCTCATCTCTCTGATTCCTAATCTGTAAAACAGAGCTAGGGAAGTCCCTCAAAGGTTGATAGGACGAGTCAGTAAGACTGACTGGGCCAGGAGAGGGATGCCCCTTGACCTCCACCCCGCAACATGCTGCTTTGTGGTCTGGAATGAATCAGCAGGAATTTCTGAGCCCCCGTTTCCCTATCTGCAGTACGGTGGGCAGCAGGGATGCTACACGGACAAGGTTCAATGTCTGAGAAGCTCTGAGTGCAGAGCTGGGCACCCAGTGGCCCTGGGGAGCGTGGGTGGGCGTCACTCACTCTGCTTGGCGTCGCCCTCGGGCCCCGGGCGCCCTTCAAACCGGCCGTCCCTCTGGTTGTTGAGCAGCTCCTTCTCCCTGCCCACCGCATTCTGCTGCCGGGAAACACCGTCCAGGTCAAGGGCACCGGGGTGGGCGGCCGAGCTGAGGCCCAGCTTCGGGGGTAGGGGCTCCCCGCTGCTCTTCTTCAGGTACGAGGCGGGGGCCCAGCCTTCTTTGCCTTGGTACCTGGGAGGAAGAGGAAGGACGCTGGCCAGGCTGCTTTGCCAGGCTCCTGGGAAGAAGCCACACTTCCACTGTGAACCAACTTCCAGTCCCAGATGGCAGGAACCAGGGGCTACCTACCACTGCCCAAGGGCCAGAGGCCAGTGCAGGGCACACTGCCTCCAGGTGGAGCCTGAGGCCTCTGACAGCACCCACCACGGTTGACCCACCCTGCCTGGTTTGCAGCCTCCAAATGCCCCCTCTCTTTCACCCGTCCTGCCTCCCGCCCCTGCCCCCTTTGACTGTGAAAGCCTTTTTCTCCACTCCTTCCCGGCGAGCACCTGCTCCTCCTGGGCTACGCTGAGTGTCATCCCTCCCTTTCCCCAGCGCGCCCTCTCTATCCTCCCGCACACACTGGGATCCCAGCACCTAGAACACACACGGGACATTTGGACATGACGGTTCTGTCTCCCCAGTTAGCATGTGAGCTCCTGGGGGCAGGACCGTAGCCAAGTCGTCTCTAAGTCAGGGCCACTGGTGCCAGTGATTTGAATGGAGAAATCAAAGTTCAAGTGGACGAGCCGCCACAGAGCTCTGCTGCAGTGGAGGTCCCCGGAGCCGGCGCTGTGACTACAGCGATGGTGAGAATGGAAGCGGCCCTTGGGCACTTCCTTTGCTCTGTCCTCAGCACTTACAGCTCTTGATGGGATGGAAATCCAGCCATCCCCAGGAGACAGGCACTACAGGCTGAGTACCCATAATCCCCAAATCTGAAATTTCACATGCGCCAAAATCAACATTTTGGGCAACGGTATGATGTTACAAGTGGAAAATTCCACACCTGACCTCAAGCGATGGGTGCAGTCAAAACTCAGGTGCACTAAAAATATTGTATATGACTGCCGTCAGGCTGTGTGTGCAAGGTGTGGATGCAACAAGTGAGTTTCAGGTTTGGATCTGGGTCTCCTCCCCATATGTCACAGTGCATGCAAGTATTTCACAGTCTGAAGAAACACTCAGGGGATAACTCAAGCTATATTGACATCTCTCTGTGTGTGTGTGTTTAAAATTATTTAGTTGGGGCTGGCACTGTGGCACAGCAGGTTAAAGTCCCAGCCTGTAGTGCCAGCATCCCATATGGGTGCCAGTTAGAATCCCAGCTGCTCCATTTCCGATCCAGCTCTTTGCTGTGGCCTGGGAAAGCAGCAGATGATGGCCCAAGTCCTTGGGCCTCTGTACCCACGTGGGAGACCCGGAAGAAGCTCCTGGCTTCGGATTGGCTTAGCTCCAGCTGTCGTGACCCTTTGGGGAATAAACCAGTGGATGGAAGACTCTCTTTGTCTCTACCTCTCTCAGTAACTCTGTCTTTCAAATAAATACAATAAATCTTAAAATTATTTAGTTATTTATCTGAAAGGCAGAGAGACAGAAATCTCTCATCCACTGCTTTTCTTCCCAAATGCCCACAACTTCCAGGGCCAGTAACCAGGAACTTGTCATGCAGATCTCCCATGTGGGTGGCAGGGACTCAAGCACTCGAGCCAGTACCTGCTGCCTTCCAGGGTGCACATTAGTAGGAAGCTATTGGGAGTGGAGGTGGGACTTGAACCCAGCCACTCTGACTTGGGATGCAGGGGTCCCAGAGGTGTCTTTACCGCTATGCCAAATGCCTACCCTGAGATGTTTTAAGGGCAAGGAGTCTGCGGGAGGGAGGCTGCGTATCTCACACAGGATTAAGAGCCAGCACACAGCAGAAACAAATCCAGACTTCAGCAGCTGGACCACTGTGCTCTCAACCTCTGTGCTTTGTGGCCTTTCCCAGCAGCCCTAGCTCCCGGTGTGACGCCTGGCAGAGACGGGGCAGGGCTCTGTTCTCGTTGGCTAACACGTGGATTAAGCACTTGTTTGGTGAGGGAATGGAGCAGGTGCAGGATAGGCTGGTCATCACAGAACTGTGGCGTGGCCGACACCCTGACGGATCAGCTCACGGTTTCCCCAGAAAGGAACTCAGTGGCTGTAACCATCACTGAGTTCTCCACATGACAGAACTCAGTTTAACTGCAACGTGCAGAAGAGTCAGCGTGGACCAGCGCAGAGCTGGAGCCCAGGTGCATGCTCGTGACAGCAACTGGGCACACCTCCCCTCTCCACACTGGGGGTCACCCAGATTGCATGAAATCAGCGAGGGAGGGGGCGTTCACCATGGGAACTGGCGGACACCACGATGAGGAGCATCCTCCCCAGGCAGAGCAGGTGGTGGAACATTCATCTGCACCCCTACAAAACGGGGGCCCATGCCTTGGGGGAAAAGTTAAATACACCCAAATACAGCGAGGCCAAAGGCTGCATCAAGGATCACTTGAAGAACTGAATGGCCCCGTGTTGTAAAGAAGAAAAAAGGGCTGTTTGTAACTGGCAGTGAATTTGTAGGAAGGTGGCAACGTGCGTGGTGCAGCGTGTGTCAGTCAGTCTTACGTGCCCCTTGGGGGGATGGCGAGAAGCCGCACCCTCATCAGCCCCCGCTGGGCTCTGCACAATCGGGCCTCAGCGTGACCAGTTCAACATGCGGGGAGATAACGCCACAGCAGAGGGCAGCACGTGGGGCGGGGAGTGATGGGCGTCAGGGTGAGAAAGGAATGGGCTCGAGTGTCAGCTCTGCCATGTTCCAGCCTCCCTGGAACCTCCCGACAGCCCTCACCGCAACCTGAGTCTGAGGCAGCCGCTTCCAAGTCCCAGAGACGCTGCAAGTCCAGGGCAGCCATCACACCCACAGCTGTGTCTGCTAGCATGTGTCTGTAGCATCTTATTCTCCGGCTTCACATCTCACTCCTGAGCCCCCGTCAGGAAGCCTTCCTGAAGCCCCAGGCCAAGCAGTCCTTCTTCCGTGGGCCCCAAAGTGCCCCCTGCATCCCTCCCACTCACTGCTCATCTCACCGCCCGCTCCAACTGTTTGCCAATCCATCTTCTGTGTTCACCGCTCAGACCCCCAGCTCCCAGGATAGGGCGTGTTCCCAAACAGAATCTTAGTGTGTGTTTGTTGATGAATAAATGAAGGAATGAATGAATGCACACAGTACCCTGCGTACAGCCTCACGTGAGAGGCCCTGATGTCCTGCCACACACCAGGTCACAGAGACCCTGGCTTCCTCCCTTCTGCTCATTTCTTGGGGTCACAGCCTCACATTGGGATGAGCAAGGAGGGGCTCCCAGCACCCTTAGGACTAAAACAGGGCAAGTCTCAGGCGAGCAGGGCGAGCTGGTCACCCTACCTGCCTACGCGGCTCGGACTCCAGCACTAGCTGAAAGCCCTCAAGTGTCTGAGCTCAGTTCACCTGCTTTTCCTACTAGACTCCGAGAGATGAAGGCAGATGATGGCGCAGACCCCAGGGCAGAGGACAGCTGAGACACATCGTTCACCCGGCATATTGGTCTCAGGGTGGGGCTGCAGCGGGGCAAATCCCCAGGGGCAGCTTCAACCTCCGGCTCACGAGAGACACCTGGAGTGGGAGACCGGCCTTGCCCTCTGTGGTCCGGTATGTCTGGAGAAGGTATTGCGTCTTACAGACTTTGGGGGAAGAATGTAGGGGGAGGACAATGCCATCTGCAGCCGCTCGAGCCCACCCACTTAGAGGAGGCGGCGAGCGTACCTGATCTTCCACCAGCCTTCCAGGTTCTTCTGGATGACCTCCACCACGGCCCCCCTGTCCAGGTTCATCTCGTCCTGGTCGCGAGCTGTGTATGGGTAGATGACGGTGTACTTCTCCTCTGTGGGCACAAGGGGAGGATGGAGTAAGCAAAGGACGCAGGGAGCCCAGCAGATGCCGACTGTGATCTGGGCCAGGCCCTCGCCCTCCACAGACTTCTGTGCACCCCCAGGCCCCCACCGAGCCCTGGGCGGCCTGGGCAAGCAGCAGAGGCAGCAAGCTGCAGGACAAAGGGCAGGTCCCAGTCCCTCTGCTACTCCTCAGCGTCACACTCGTCCTCACCTTCCTCAAAGCTGGGCTTCCAGGTCGTGCCCTGGCCCACACCATCCACTACGTCAGCCCGCGGCAACCCTCAGCCTCCCGCTCTGCTTGATTCCCACCGCCTCACTCTTGGAACCACCCTGAGACACAACGAGCAACTTACTTATTTTTACATGGACTTCTCCAGCACCACGGAGGGGCCTGGGATACTGAGTAAGACATGCAGGCCCGGTGGGCACCACCTTGCCGATCATGCTGGTGGGGAGTTCAAGGATACGCAGAAAATCTGGCAGCTACAATCGCTACCAAGGATTGCATTTTCATCACCTGGCTGGTAACTGAGTTTCCTTTTTCATGAGTATGGCCAAGCCCCTGGATCCAACCATGCCTGAAGCTTTAATTCTCACCCTACTACTCTCTGGGCTCCCCTAGCCCTTAACCTACGGCCCCCTCTTCTCCCTGTGGGCTTCCTCCAGCTGTGCCCTCCACACGGCAACCTTGATGATGATGAGCCTTGCTCATCGTCACACTCAGGCACAGTGCTCCAAAGAGGAGGGAACAGCTCAACCCTCCAGTGCATTGGTGGCTGAAATGGAGAAACAAGGATGCATGTCCCAGAGGGACTAGCCAGCAGAGGAGAAGGCTTTCCTGTTCTGGTGACGTCTCAGCCCCCGAGTGAGTGTGGCTGCACCAGCTGTGTCCTGGTGGCCGTGGCTGGGAGGCTGGTGCAGTCTCCAGCCCTCTGGGAACATCCCACAGGCTGTCCGTGGCCTCCTCAGCTGGTGCAGAGGGAGGCGGAAGGCACACAGGGCGTTTATTTATTGATTGACTTGGCCTGCTGACCTGCTCCGCAGGGGCTGTGCTGACTCAAGCTGCACATATCCTGTGTTCACACAGCCAGCTGTGGCCTCCTTTGCTGAAGCTGCCCTGGAGCTATGGGCTGTGAGAGGTGCACGAGGGAGCCCAACCCTGTGGATGGATGAGCGGAAGCTGTTTGGCCTGAGCAGGGAGGAGCGCTGGCCGGGTCCTGGACTGAGTGTGGTCAGTCCCCCTGGCCCGGGGCTCCTGAGGCCCAGCTCCCTCTGGCTGAACTGCACAGGGGGATTCTCTAGCACCCATGAAACCGCTCAGTGATTGCCAGCAAGTCCTTGGGGACTGCATCATGGGTGCCTCCTGATGCTACAGGTCTCACACCCACCTTGCCCTTCCTCTGCCAGCCCCCCTGGCCTCCATACACATGGTTAAGCTCATCACCTTCTGGATGGAGGGGGTGGCTGTGTGCCCCTGGCTTGGCCACCGTGCTTGGTTTCAGAGACAGGACAGCACGTGACCCAAGCAGATGAGCTGGTACCAACCTGGGGCTCGGGTTGAAGGAAAAGCTCTTGCCCACAGCAAGGGAGAGAACAGAGCAGCAGGGTGGTCAGGGAGCCCCGGAGCCTGACGGCACCTCCAAGGCCATGCCTGAAGCTAGCCTACTCCGGGCTTCTCAGTGATGTCAATCAACACGCTCCCCTTTCTGCCTAACTTGGCTGATGTGGGCTTCTTTCCCGTGCCACTCAAGCATGCCTGACGAATAGAACAGGTCCCTGGCTCAGCAGCCCAGAAGTCCCCAGGCCTCATTCTTTAAGCTGGGAAACTTCTCAGCCCCAGGGCCGAGATACGCCCCAGGCTCACTCCTCCCGCCCCCACATGCCAACTCCCACACTCGCCAGACAGACAAGACCAGTGTGTGTCACATGCAGCAGGCACGGGCAGTCCCAGAGCTGGGAGGCTCATGCAGATGCAGGGACGCGGCTCCAAACACCAGACAGGAAGAAAACTCCAAGGCAGGCACCTGGGCGCCAGCTGATGGCATTCAAGTCCCCCAGAGTCCGGCGGCGGCCCACGGACCGGGGCAAAGACCAGTACCTCCAGGACACTGGCGGGCGGCATGTGGAGGGGAAGGGCAGAAGGCAGAGGTAAGAAGACAGCACTCCCCGGGCTTGCGGCCAAGGGGGAACCCAGCACAGCGCCCACTCAGAAGCGCATTACTCTGGAGTCCGTTCCAAACCCCAGGTATCTTAGAAAGATCCAGCGCCTGAGTCACCTTGAACTTGAGCGAAGGGGCATCTGGTAGACATGATTCCATCCCTACTGTGACTGTGAAGAGGCAGCAGGAGAAACCCTCGTGGCAAAGGGAGGAAAAGTGTACAGACCTTTAGGAAAATGTGGTCTCTTTGCCACTTTCGAGCCCTGAGATGCTGGGCAAGTCCTCTACCTTCCAGACCTGTTTGCCCATGTGTAGAGTGGGCTGATCATCAGCCCCCAGCAGAGGCACGGGGTGGTCACCACTGGCTGGAAGGGAGGCCGTAGCTGCAGGGAGCAGAGCAGGACCCGCTGACGGGGGTGACTCTTGTAGCGTCACGTGGTGGTCCAGCCTCGGTGCTCGCTGTGCCCTCATGCATACACAGCCAAACAGTCTGCTTCCTCTGCGGGGCCTCGGCTGTGCTGAGTGCACAAACCACGGCCCTTCTGCTAGGCTCGGAGCATGGGAACGTCCCCTTCTCCTCACCTCTCTGCTGACACACACAGACTGTGAGTGGCTGTATGCTTGCTCAAGGCTGCCCACAAAAAGCCAGAGACCTCAATGCTACGTAAGGCAGTGTTGGCAGGGTTAACAGCAGTCCCTGGTTACCTACTGTTCGAGTTTGTGTGCATGTGGGAATCCTATATAATTTTCAAAAAATCCCCCAACAGGGGCAGGCATTTGGCCTAGAGGTCAGGATGACCACATCCCATACTGGAATGCCTGGGTTCGCTTTCCGGCTCTGGCTCCTGATCTTTTTCTTGCTAACACGCATTGTAGGAGGCAGCAGTGATAGTTCAAACAGTTAGGTTCCTCCCACTCAGGTGGAAGCTCCTGGCTTTGGTCCCCCAGCTGTTGTGGGCATTTGGGGATTGAACCAATAGATGGGAGCTCTATGTCTGTCTCTTCACTCTACCTCTCAAAAAAACAAACAAACTGAAAAACACAAACACAAAAACAAAACAAAACAAAACCTCCAAAACTCAAAAAAATCCCACCAAGAGCCAAAAAGCAAAATCCCACCAGCATATGAAGGGTTTGCAAAAAGTATATGGAAAATACATGTTATCAAAAAACTATGCACACATTTCAAAATATTTTCCCCAATACATTTATCTTTTAGTCCCACTTTCCATGAACTTCTTGAAGCCTTAGCTGCCACCATCGTTTCCAGTTGCAGCTGGGGCTTAGAGAGGTTCAGTCACCGGCCCAAGAGCCCTTCGCCAGTACGTGATGTTCAAATCCAGGTCTGTCTCCAAGACCCCTGCTGAGGAGTGAAGGGAACTCCTGCTCCACTCTCAGGAATGTTTCCAGGGGGAGAGGGAGGTGGCTTGGTATTGCCGATGTGGTAGGACACGTGGAAGAAGGGCCAGCGGAAAACGGAAGCGTGTGGGGCAGTCAGCCCCCACCCTGCACCTCGACACAGCCGTTTAACCACCAGAGGCAGCAGAGGTCTTTCCACAGAAGGCATCAAGTGCCTTGCAAATGAGAAGGAAGGAAGCAGTGCCTGACCACCAGAACAAGTCTAGGGGGGAGCAGTGAGGCATGGACAGAGGGCAGGCTGGGGTCCCCTCGGGGTCGCGTGAGGGTGTCAGGGCCCCAGGGAAAGCACTGCCCAGGCTCACTCAGTCTGGCCCCCAGAAGCCCCGAGAAGGGGCAGGCTTGTTGTTCTGCTTTAATTCCACTGCCTGGCTTCATGGTCATGGCCACCGAGCCTGAGACGGAGAGATTTGGAGGCAGAGGCTGCAGGGGAGGAGAGGTGAAGAGGTGACCCAGCAAGGGCCGTGGCCGCATGGGCTGTCCCCAGCACGTGCAGGCTGGGGCTCCTTCCTACCTTCTTCAGACTGCATGGAGAACTCGTCCTGCACACCGTCCTGCCCTTCCAGACAGGTGGCAGGGACCCAGCCTTGCTCCTCAGCCGTGCTGACGAACCACCAACCTGGGAAAGCGAGAGTGCACAGTGGCATTAGTGGGGCGCAGCGTCAGAACCCGACCCAGGTGTCGCCCCCTCGGTGTCCACGGGGGACTGGTTTCGGGACCCCTCCCCCCACCCTGAGACACCAAGCTCCCAGGCTGCTCAAGTCCCTCATATCAGATGGCACAGCACGAGGGGACTTCAAAATGCTTGTGGAAAATGGAATTAAAAGATAAGTGGATTTTGGTGCAAAAAACCCTTGAAATCCATGCACATGAGGGGTCTTGAAAAAGTTCAAGTAAAGTATGTACTGAAAAAAACTGCATGGATTTTAATTGTTTTATGCAGCAAAATGAATATACTTTAAATCTTATTTTCCCAGAACTTTTCGAAGGCCCCTCAGGTTTTGCACTGAACCTACAGACATCCTGTGCACTTTAAATCATCTCCAGATGACTTGCAAGCTGCTACAATGGGAGCGCTGTGTAAATAGTCGTTTTGCTGTGTTGCTTAGGAAATAATGACAAGAAAAACACGTGCACATGTTTAGTACACACACAAGGTTTCGGAACATTTTCCATCCATGGGTGGTTGAAGTCACCAACAGGGACCCCGCGGACACCGAGGGCTGACTACATTCAGCCACTGGGTGCCTTCACACCCACGGAAAGGCCAAAAGCTTACCATTCAGCCTTAACGACCATGAACTACCAATGTTAGCTGCCGACTGCTACACCCAGGCTAACCAGACTCTCCTGAGCTTGGAAGACAGATGAGAAAGACCATGCAAAATGACAAGAACAAAGAATGTCCACCTCCACTGAGATGCGATGCCCCAAGCACTTTCCTTTTATTATCTTATGAATGCTTCACATCACTGGCCCCACTGCACAGATGAGGAAGCTGAGGCTGGAAGAGGGACACAGACTTGTCCAAGTTCATACAGCCGCGGCGGAGCTGTGGTTTTTGCCCAGGGCTGTCCGATCCTGAAAGTGTTGCCCTGAGACCTAGCTGGGACTCTGACCTAGCATTCGCTCAGTTCCAGGGGGAATCCAGCCGCAGAGGCAACTGCTGGAGAGGACTCTCACCCAGCCACGGGCGTCTCCTGAGAAGGGCTCGCGTGGGCTTGTGGTAGGCCCCCATCCCTGGAACCTGTGACTATATTAAGTTACATGGCAATGGGGAACTAAGGTTCCTATCTGCTGACTTTAAAATAGGGAGATCATTTGGGATTATGAGGTTAAGTCCTGGAAGACAGAGGCAGAAGACTCGGGAAGACAGGGCTATGGAAGACAGACATGGAGAGGTGAGGCATTGCTGGCTTTGAAGATGCAGGAAGGGGCTGGGGCCGAGGGATGTGGGCAGCTTCCAGGAGCTGGGAAAGGCAAGGAAACAGATCTTAACCAGAGCTGCTGAAGCAACACATCCTACCAGTACCCTGTGTGTGCATGGAACTCCAGGGCTGATAAGCCTAGGGGCCAGTGAGGCCAAAGCCTGTGAAGCCGGCATCCCACACCAGTGCCGGTTTGAGTGGAACTGGAGGCTCAGTGACTTGCTCAAGGTCACAGATGATATTAGTGGCCACTGCCACATGAAAGCCACAACAAGCTGTTGTCTATGCCACTGCTTTTGGAGAGGAACTGCCCATTCCCTGCTCTCCCCCTCTGCCTTCAAGGGTACGCAGCGGCTGCTTTGTGGCTAAGGAAGGCGAGAGAAGGAATCCCACACTTTGGAAGCACCTACTACGTGTCATACACAGGCACTCTATTTCTGTATCTGGTAGATGAGCAGAGAAATAAAGCCACATGGACTGCTGGGAAATGCGGAGTTCAGGTGGAAATCAGGCTCCACACCTAAATCACACCACATTCTGCCCCAGGCCCGACCAGTGTATGTGGCCAGGGGGCCCTGGGATGGCAGGCGGGCCGAGTGACAGGTGCAGTGTCCGTCCCACGAAAGCCCAGCGCTGATGCAGTCTTCTTGAAGACCCCAGGGGTGACAACAGGCAAATTAATGCGTAAATGTTCCGTGAAGTGCGCAACACTGTGTCTCCAGGTGCTTTACAAGCCTGAAGGAGTTTGCGAGGCATGAGCCTCAATAAACCAGCAACACCTGAGCCAGCAGGACGCTGGTGAGTGGGGCCAGCACTAACCAACCCCGGAGAGCACTCTAGGAGGCCCTCCGCCTGCACTGGGTAAGGTAGTTTCTCAGTGCCCAAGAGTTTCCCGTGCGGGGGCTGGGTGACAGTGTGGGGTGGGGAGGTTCCCACCTGACTCATTCTTCTCGATGATGTCCACCACCTGCCCCACGCTGAGGCTGATCTCCGAGCTCTCCTGCTTCTGATAGTTGGCCACCACCACGTACTGCTCCAGGACCATGGGGTCCACCGAGGCCAGGTCACCTCCTTTGGACAACAAAGAACAATCACATGTCACAGCTGCCACCACCATGCATAAAGGAATAGGAATCAGGGGAGCAAGGTGGGTCAGGACCCTCCAAATAGATAAAGCAGCCAGTCCAGGACTCAGTGCAGCTCAGTGCAGGGTGACCTCATAGGTGTGTTTTTTATTCATTTGTTCACTCTGCCACCAGAATTTACCAATGACTGAAGGGTATGTGTGTGTGTGTGTGTGTGACTACGAAGATGTGGTATCTGCCCCGAAGAAGCTGACAGCCTAGTGGAAAGTTCATTCATTCACATCTATCTATCCTTCTGCCAGCATCCATCATTCATCCAACCAGACAGCCATCCATCCACCCGTCATTTATCTAACTAAGCATACATCCATCATCCGTCCCAAGCCACTCAGTCATCAATTCACGAAGGCACTGGTGATGTTCCGGGTACTCTCAGGTGCTGGGAACAAAAGCAGATGAAACAGGTGATTCCCAGCCTCAGGTAACGCAGTCTGGGTGGGGAGACAGACACACCCGTAAGTCCACAGTGTGAGTAGTATACAGACACACTTAAGTATGAGCTGGCGATGGCTGAATTGCTGGGGCAGTGAGTGAAGGGGAGAGACAAGGCTTTGTTGAGCAGGGTGGTCAGGAAGACCTCCCCAGGGAGGTGACATGGAGCGGAGACACAGCCGAGGGGAGACTGGGATGGGAAGGGGGAGACTGGGACGGGAAGGGGCCGGGAGCTTTTGCTCTGGGAGGGGGCTGGTGGCTGAAGCCCCATGAGTAAGGAAAGCATGCTCACAACCGAGAGCCCAGAGGTTAGGCCTGGCTCACAGCAGGCGGGGCTGCACGGGTAAAGGAAGCAGTGTGGACTCTGGGGGTGCGCCTTCGGCATGAAGGTTAAGGCACCACTTGGGACGCCCACATTCCGAATCAGAGTGCCTGCTTCAGGTCTTGCCTCCTCCATTTTTGATCCAGCTTCCAGCGGAGGTGCATTCTAGGAGGTGGCAGTGATGGTTCCACTAACTGGGCCCCTGTAACCGGCATGGGAGACCCAAAAGAAGCTCCTGGCTCTGGACTGGCACAGCCCTGGCCATTCCGGCTGTTTGGGGAGTGAACCAGCAGATGGAAAACCTCTCTCTCTGTCTCTCCCTCTCTTCATCTTTGATTCTGCCTCTCAAATCAATAATAAAATCTTTAAAAAAATATTTATTTCTTTACTTATTTGAAAGGCAGAGTGACAGACAAGAAGAGACAGGGAGTATGGGAAGGCAGAGATCGGTCTCCAGTCCGCAAGTTCACTCCCAAATGCCCACACAGACAGGGCTGGGCCGGCCTGAAGCCAGGAGCCGGAACTCCATCTGGGCCTCCCATGTGAGAGGCAGGGACATAAGACCCACCCCAGATGTAACTTTGGAAAAGCCGCAGGGTGAGTGCATCGAGAGAGCAGCTTGCCACATGTGATCACAGGGCTCTGGGTTTCTGAACATCTTGACTTCAAATATCCCTTCTTATTGTTTTCATAAATCATTGATAAATGCAGGAAATTCCACCCTTCTGCGCCCAAATACATCTGGTAGTGGAGTGGTGTGTGACAGCTGACTCACCGGCCTGCCCTGGGGAGCAACCACAGCTGACAGCTACCATTGAACTTCTGCCCTCTACTGGCAACCACAGGGACTCCTTGATGAGAGTAGCAGAGGCTTCAGTCAAGCCGGGACCCAGTTAAGCCGGGTTACTTTGTTCATAAGTTCACCTGCTGGGGCCGCTGGGGCACAGCAGGTTAAGACGCTATTTTAACGGTTTGAGTCCCAGCTGCCCTGCTTTCAATCCAGCTCCCTGCTAATGTGCCCGGGAGGGGAATGGAGGATGATCCAAGTACTTGGGCTCCTGCTACCCACACGGGAGACCTGGATGGAGTTCTGGGCTCCAGGCCCAGGCCCAGTTGTTGCAGCCATTTGGGGAGTGAACAAGTGGGTAGATCTCATTGGTATATCTCATTCTCTCTCTGTCTCTCGCTCCCTCTCTGCTACTCTGCCTTTCAAATAAATAAAACAAATCTTTTTTTCCCTTAAGTTCCACTGCTGCCAGCCTGTTTTAACACCTGATAGCAGCACTAGTGTACCACATTACAATTTTTAGGACCTCTGACAAATGCACTGCTCTGTTCGTTTCTGCACCGACTCTCCTGATTGCAAACGGCATGTGGCAAAACTAGGAACGGAGTCAGAATCAGGGAATCATGGGACTTGCCATGAGCATGACAGGAAGCCAGGAGATGAGCATTTAGACTCTGGGCTGGCAAGCGCACATCCTAGCCTAGTATAGGGCCTGGGCTGGCACCTCCTCTATACCTTGGGGAAGATACCCACGAGGACAGGATCAGCTCATTCAAATGTGTCCCCATGACTTGAGGGAAGGGGGAACCACCTGGAAGGCCCGAGTGTGACATTCCCTCTGCCTGCAAGGCAGGACTCTGTGTGAGAACACGCATTTCCACCGGGGTGTCCAACAACAAACCAAGCACACCAATTATTTTCTCTGTTACTGTCACACACAAGATCTGGGGCTTAGCCTGTGGTTCTCTGCCATGAAGTGGTTCAGAGAAGAGTGCATGGAGCTACTTTTTTAGCCTTTCTTCTTGAGCAAGCCTTTTGCATGTGACTTGGTTCACTTTACAAAAACGCAGGAAAAAGAACCCCCCAGTCATTTGATCCACCAGGAATCTCAAACTGGGCTTCAGACCATTTAGGTGCCACGTGAAGACACTTACTGGTGAGACGCGATATTGCAGCCAAGCTCTACTAGTGCCTCACCATTATCACAGTAATCCCAAAGCTGAGGCACGTAGCTAAATTCTAGCAGCTGCCAAGTATGAGATCAAAGGATTCCGAGGCAAGGACTGTCACTCTTGTGGCCTAGCCGACGATATGAGAGAAGGAAGAGTCCAGGAGGAAGAAGCTGGCTTGACAGTAAAAGGGAGATTTTTATCATTAAGTCCTGTCACCTGGGACAGTGCCTAACCCACTGCAGAGGCTTTCAATCCGGGTGTTTTCTTCCTTCAGTGGTTAAAGTGGACTTCCCTTCCGGAAACCCTCTTTATGCCAGGCTTGCTCAGAGAATCAGCAAACAAGACTGCTTCCACCAGTAAAGGAAGAAAAGTTTCCCTGAAAGAATGAGACGATTTGTTGCACTGTGACAAGGGGGTTTTGCCTGTTTCTTTGTTTCCTGCAGGATAAGCAGAACTTGAGGCCACGTTAGCCAGAGTCCGCAGGGACAGCCAGGGGGTTGTGAGAGGGAAGTGGCAGAGACAGATCCGCCTTCTTCCACCGACAGTTCTGGCACAGGAATGTGGGCCATTCGTCAGAAAAACATTAAATTCCTTTAAAATTAAATCAAGAAGGCTGGCTCTAAAATAAAGGAAGCGTTCGAAGGTCAGTTAGGGAACAAGGCTAATCCCAGCATGGGTTCTCTGAATGAGGAGGGGTGCCGTGTGCCACGTGGCTGAACTATGAATACACCTTCCACTGCCCCTGCAGGTGCATGATGGGCGTGGTCACCGCAAATGAGAGCTTCCTGTCTTTCCAGACCAGTCTCTGCATCAGGCTCGGCAGACAGCACACCTGGTTTTCACAACCCCCCAGAGCCGTCGCCTTCCTCCCACCCGCTGCTTCCAGGGAAAGTGGCTGCATGTTCAAAACCAGAAACTCTGTGACCGGCCCGAGAGTGGCAGCTCCTCGCTGTCTTTTCAAAGAAACATATAGCCGGCGCCGCGGCTCACTAGGCTAATCCTCCGCCTTGCGGCGCCGGCACACCGGGATCTAGTCCCGGTCGGGGCGCCGAATTCTGTGCTGGTTGCCCCTCTTCCAGGCCAGCTCTCTGCTGTGGCCAGGGAGTGCAGTGGAGGATGGCCCAAGTACTTGGGCCCTGCACTCCATGGGAGACCAGGATAAGTACCTGGCTCCTGCCATCGGATCAGCGCGGTGCACCGGCCGCAGTGCGCCGGTTGCAGTGGCCATTGGAGGGTGAACCAATGGCAAAGGAAGACCTTTCTCTCTGTCTCTCTCTCACTGTCCACTCTGCCTGTCAAAAAAGAAAAAAAAGAAACGTATAATTATCCCCGGGCTCAAGGACTATTTACAGCTTGAGCAGGATACCACGGCCTGGCCAGTACCTATTAGAAAGTACAGCCATAAACAGACTGGCTGGGAAAAGGCTAGAGTTAAATCCAGATGCCGTACCTCGACCCAGAGAGATCTGAATCCTCCCTCCCCTCCCCCATCTTCCCTCTAAGAATGGCCCGGGGGGAGGGGCCGGCAAAGCTGACTGCAGCCTCTACGGGGGCACCTCTGGTGCTGAGGATGACCATGGCTGTTGAATGTGCAATTGCTACTGAAGGGGGTCAGGGACACCGGTGTGCTTTAAGTAACAGCAGTGGAAGCAGCAATGAAAATAGCAGAAAACATACATCCTTACAATGTGCCAGGCACTGTTCTAAGGCTTCACCGGACGGATTACTATTATCATTGCCATTTTACAGAGAGACACTGACAGGCAGCATCCTTTACCACACGTGGGATCTCTGCTTGCCTTGCCCCGCCCTTGCTTTATGCTTATCAAATCCCCCAGCCCTCCTGGAACTGAAGGACATTAAAGAACTTGGAATCCCAGAAGGTCTGAAGGCCGCACTGGCTCCAGGTGAGTGTGGGCCAGGGTCTCTGCCGTTGTAGGAGGTGCTCTGCGTGGTGGGAAGAAAAAGCCGGGCTGTTGCTAACCTGGGTTTTCATGAGTCCCAGTCCCGTGAGAACTCAATCACTGTTCCGTGTGGACAGATTCCCACTGCTCTCCCCAGGACTGCTTCTGATCAAAGCAGCTGTGTCGTCCAAGGAATGAGGGGATCGTCAGGAAGGAGGAGGACTGACTTCAGGGGCAGTGGAATGAGTGCGTGAATTGCTCCAGGTTGCATTTGCCTCTGCCCAGAATGGTGGCTTCCTGTAGGGAACTGCAGAGGCGGGGGCCCCACGCTGCGGCCACCGAACGGATCGGGCCCAGATGGACAGCACAACCCCACCTCCCAGCCTGCAGGTGTGCTGGCTCCTCGCTCAGAGTGCCCTGCACTGCGTGGGAGTCATTCTCCAGGACCCATGGTCCCCTCTTCCTGACCCCTTCCCAGCACATGAGAAGCAGGCTCTGAGCTACCCCAGGACTCTGCACAAAGCAGAACAAGGGCATTTCACCCCCCACAGCGAGCCTGGGTAGACGCCTGTGTGCTTCCTGAAGGCATCCTCAGGGAAAGGCACCAGGTCTCATCTACCTCGAAATGCTCTGGCACAGAGTGAAACAGGCTCAGATCCTTTTGGGTAACAGAGTGGACAGCAGCCAATCAATCAAACATTGACCCATCCTTTCATCCATCCATCCATCCATCCATCCATTAAGCATCAAGGAATCATCCATCCATCTGTCCACACACCAACCCACCCATCAATCTATCCATCCAACAAACATCAATCCATCCATTCACCATCCATCCATCTATCCATTAAGTATTAATGCATCATCCAACCATCCATCAACCCATCCGTCAGTGCATCCATATACCCACTCATCCACTCATGCATGCATCTATCCATCCATCTACCCAGCATTCATCCATCCACCTGTTCACATCACTGTATCCCCGATGTGGAACCCAGGGCCTGGAACCCAGCCAGTGCTCAGTAGGAGTATGAGAAAGTGGAAAATATGCTTACCAGATTTCTTTTTCCCAATGTGCTCCCTGTAAAGGAAAGAAAGGGGACGAGATGGAGAAACAAGTCAGTATTTACTGTGTATTGACAAGTTAGTCAATGCATTTCCCACCCCACAGCGCCAGCCAATGAGTACAATCCAAGCCGGCCCTAGGGACCCAGACTTCTTCAAAAAGAAAGAGTTCGTTCCTCTTAGGTCCTGGCACCCTAGGGACCAATGTCTCCACTGATTGGTAGCAGAGAGGGCCCTAGGGAGGAGTCGAAAGGCGCTCCACAGTCTAGAAACAGGAGTCAGGCCCCACATTGCATGAGCTGCCTCCCTGTCAGGCACAGTGGAGGTCCCTGTCTCACTGCGCGGGCTCCCTGAAGCCTAGACTTGGAGCCGAAAGTGCCTGGTAGAAAGGGGAATGCACGGAGCCTGGGGAGGAGTGCAGACAGCAGGGCACACGACACTTAAGCAGCGCCAATGCCGGTTACAGTGACACTCCTCACGCCTGTAGGAGGGCTGCAATCAGAACAGGAACAACACATGCCGTTGGGGGTGCAGAGTCGGCACTCACACGTGGCTGGTGGGGACGCGAGGCAGGGCAGCTGCTCAGACAGGATTACCATGAGACACTATGAGTGACATGGTGGGGGGCACTACCCTAGGCTGAAATTCAAAGGGAATGATAAGGACTCCCTTACACTTATCAAGCATCACAATTCCCACTACGACTGTGTGTGACTACAGTGCGACAAATCAGGGCATAGAGAGGTCCTTTCAAGTCAATTATGCCAGTGGTAATAAGGTATCCGATAATTGGATTGGGACAGATGCTACCATCCGGTGCCAGCAACCTGCTAGGCCCTTGCAGCTCACTCAGGAAATACAAAAGCCATAACAAGTACTATTTTTATCCCCATTTAGTAGGTAAGGAAAAGGAGGCACAGAGAGGTTCAGTAACTTGCCCAAAGCCACAGGGCTAGCCAAACAGCCCAGCCAGGATCTGGGCCCCACTGTATCCATGTTGTTAAAAACTGAGATTAAACACGCCATACCATTCATCTGCAAGCATGCAATCGGCTGGTCTGTTGTACATCCACAAGGCTGTGCAACCATCTAATTCCAGAGCGGCTTCACCCACTCCTCTTGGTCCCTAGCCATCACAAACCTGCCTGCTGCATCCTGAGATTTGCCTATGCTGGACACTTCCTACAAATGGAACCACACAGTGCCTTCTCGTGTCTGGCTTCTTTCTTAGCAAAATGTTTTCCCGATCTGTCCGCGTTACAGCGTGTACCATACTTCATTCTCTTTCACGGCTGCATCATGCCCCATCATAAGGGACCCTAATTTGTTTATCTGTTCACCATCTGATGGGCGTTTTGGGGTTGTTTCCACTCGGTGGCTATTACAAAGAACGTGTCTCTGCACATCTGCATGCAAGCTTGTTTCATTTCTCTTGCATTCACACGTGCGAGCAGAATTGCTGGGCATACGGTGACTACTGAATTGAGAAGCTGCCAGGTTGTTTTCCACAGCAGCTGCCCAACTCTACCATCCCCACCTGCAATGTACGAAAGCTTGGCCTCTCTGCCTCCTGGACAGCACGTGCTGCTGGTGCCCTGACCGCAGCCGTCCCTCGGCTACGAAGAGGCGTCTCACCCTCGCTGGGACTGGCACTTCCTGCGGGCTGATGATGTGGAGCGTCTTATCACATGCTTATTGGCCACTTGTGCATCTTCTCTGGAGAGACACCTGCTCAGTGTCTGATTCTAAAGTCTGGGTTTTTAGCCACCACGGAATCACGCTCAGGGCAAACTCCAGAGAAGGAAGGGAGCGAGGCCAGGCCCGGGAGCCTGGGGCCGCAAGTCCTGGACGCCTGGCCCTGCAGTGGAGCTGAGCTGGGCTGGTCCTGACGTCCTACGTCCTCGAGGCTGGCTTCATAGCCCTCGGACAGGGAAGGCAAAGGGCAAGAGCGGGTATCCTTGCTCCCTTTCACTTGCGCTTGCTCAGTCCAGGGTCCTGGAAGGACTGCTGCACCTGGCCTGACCCACTGAATGCTCTGGGGTGACCCTTCCATGTTGCAGGAGCAGACGCTGAGGTCCAGAGATCCCTGGGGTTCTAGTCCCAGGAAGTCTGGCTGCAGTCTTTGACTGTCTTTCCATGTGCTAACCAGGGCCCCCTGAGGCTGCCTCTCCACAAAGCACCGCCTCCAAGAAGGGCCACCCAGGCTGTGAGCCCGGCCACAGTCTGAACTAGCTCAAGGCCTGGGCTCCTGCTGCCTGCTTCCCCTGGCCCAGCAGGGGCCGAGGGCAGGACTGCGTGGGGGTGTCCCCATTCAAGGCAGCAAAACCCTCCTCCGAGAAAACCACTCCGAGAGAACCCTTCACTTCCCTCCCTGGAAACCCACTAGGGAAGACCCAGAATTCCCGTCCCCAGCCCTAACTTGGGTATGAGCTTCGGGATCCTGACCGAGAGACTGAGCCTGTCCAGCAGCCATCTTTGCCATGCACTGCTCCCTAAACCAAGGACGAGGGTCCAGCTGAGCCTCCCTGGTGCGCTCCAGAGCCGCCTGGGGCCCCGGACAACTTCTCCCCTACCTGTTTCCCTCCCCTGCAAAACTTGGCTTAGAAGCAGGAAAGCTTCGGTAAGCACTGGCCCCACGGAGACAGTGGGCTTCACACGCAGGACCCTGATGCTCAGAAAAGTCAGGTCACCTCTCTAAAGCCACACAGCTGGGAAGGGACAGAGATGGCACCTACCCCTTCCTGCCAGGAAACCTCTTGCAACCAGACACACAGAAAAAGTTCACTCAGGGGTGGGCATTTGATGCAGAGGTTGAGATGCCACCTCGGACACTCAAGTTCCATATCAGGGTGCCCAGACGAGTCCCTGCTCCTCCACTTCAGACCCAGCTTCCTGCAAATGTGCATTCTGGGAGGTGGCAGATGACGGGTCAAGTACGTGTGTCCCTGCCACCCATGAACCAGATGGAGTTCCGGGTTCCTGGGTCTGACCTGGCCTAGATCACGAACTCAAGCATTTTGACCCTGACTATCAGAGGAGGAGCTATGAAAATTGTGTACCTACTATGTGCCAGACACTGCACATACATTCTGTGTCCCAGCCTCACCACAGCACTGAAAAAATCAGCCATTTGTTAGTATTCTTCCCTTTATGTAGTGGGGAGAGGCAGGTGTGGCCCAGCAGTGAAGACAATGGTCAGGACACCTGTGTTCCAGATGGGAGTGTCTGGGTTTGAGTCCTGGTCCTGCTCCTTCTTTCAACTTCCTGCTAACGCACACACTGGGAGGGCAGCAGGTGATGGCAAGTGCTTGGGTCGCTGCTACCCATGTGGGAGACCCAGACTGAGTTCCCAGCTCCTGGCTCCAGCTTGGCACAGCCCTTGCTATTGTCGCCATCTGGGGAGTAACTAGCAGATGGGAGCTCTCTCTCCCTCTCTCTCTCAAAAGAATAACTAAAAATAAAGATGTGAGTTAACAGACTCTCCTTAAAGTATGAGAACACAGCTAACTCCAGCAACAGGGGAAGCAGTGGATCCTCTGAATGACCATGCACAGTAGCCCGGGGGATTTTGGTGGTCACTGTGACTTGAGTCCCTGGCTGCAGAAGATTGCTGGTCACTTCCTGATGTTCCCATCCGTCATTTCACTCCAGCCTCCAATAATCCCACCACAGGGCAGAGCAGGTGACGTGATGTCATCAGAAGGGAGGAGTGATGGGTCCGCCTGGGTAGAAGGGGCAGGCAGCTCCCTGTAGACACGGGCTGTGTCTGTGCCACTCATGCTTATGTCCCGGCGCCCAGCACTGGGCCTGGGGACCAACAACGCTGGGCCTCCTGGCTGGAGGTGGCGTCGGGTCAAGAACTCTTGGCCCCGGAGCTGTTTCTACAAGCAGCAGCCAGCAAGCAAGAGTGGAACATACTGCCATGGCCACCAGAGACAGGAGGCCAGAGAGTGTCACAAGCCACCTGACATTGCCCCAACAGCCTGACTCCTCCAGAGGGCTGGCAGTCACTCTGTCCTCACTGTCACTGTCACCCTTGGGGGCACTCCTGGTCCCTCTTCACAGTGCAGTAAGCAGAAGCCCTGAGGCCAAGTGAGTGAGCCTAAGCCTAGGCAGCCCAGGAGAGGTGAAGCCAGGACTAGAACCATGGGCTCTTCGCTGTTCTTCCATGTGGTCCCTCTTGTGGGAAACACACACAGAGGCTGCTCAGAGCTTAAGTTCAAATTGGGCGGACCTGGAGGAAGTTCACTTCCACCTCATCCAAACTGCATGACCCTGGGCAGGTCTCTTATTGTCCCGAACCTCACCTTCCTCATCTGTAAAATAGGAATGATCGTTTTTATCTGGTTGCTTTTTTTCTTTTCTTTTCTTTTTCTTTTTCTTTTTTTTTTTTTTTGAGATTTATTTAATTGAAAGGCAGAGATAGAGAGAGATTTTCCATCTGCTGGTTCATTTCCCAAATGGCTGCAATGAGCCAGGAGCTTCATCTGGGTCTCCTACATGGGTGTAAGGGCCCATGAGTTTGGGCCATCCTCTGCTGCTTTCCAGGGTGCATTAGCAGGGAGCTGGATAAGTGGAGCAGCTGGGACTCAAACTGGTGCCCATGTGGGATGCCAGTGTCGCAGATGGCAGCTTAACCTGCTACACCATAGCACCAGCCCCATTAACTGGTTGCTTTTGAACGTGATAAACTCCATATTCTTTGAGTCATCTTGCCTGGAAACTATCTGAAGCCAGAGGCTCTGAGCCTCGATTAGCAATTTAACCCTGAAAGGCAAGGAGGACCACAGAGACAGGTGCTTTGAGGACATTTCACTGTGTACTGTGACGGCCTTAAAAGCTGGGGAATGTTTACCAGACACAAACATCAAAAACACCAGGGAGGAACCGTTAGCCAGTGTGGGCTAAAGACTCTCAGCAAACAGGGCAAACAAGCTTACAAATCCGCCTTTCACGGGTTTTGTCCTCACCTTTTAACTGATTAAACTGTGCTTAAAACCCCACCCCCTCCTGGGTCTGCTGCTCTTGGAGCCCCTCCCTTGGCCACTGCAGCAGGTTTCTGACTTAAATAAAACTTGCTTTTCTCTCTCAAAAGTAAAAAAGAACCAAAACTCACAGTATCACAGTTATACTAATTCTGTATCTTTATCTTTTTTTTTTTTTTTAATTTATGGAACTGTGTCTTGGCTCCCACGCTGGCGAGACATTCCCTCGTGATTCAAAAGGCTGGCAATGTGGAGTCCCTGGGGACTGTCTCTGTGTGCTCTGGAGCTGTGCTTACCCTGTGCTGGTCCCAGGATACGGCATCTACTGGATCTGACTCAGTTTACTCATCTGTGTGTGGGGTGAACCCCTGGTCCTGAGCGACCCCCTCCAAGGTGTGTGCCACCTCTGCTTGATCCTGAAGGTTGCTGCATGTGCACCCAGACAAATGTCCTGGCTTCTCTTCTTAAAATTCTTTGATGCTGGGGCTGGTGCTATGACGTGGCAGATTAACGCCCTGGCCTGAAGTGCCGGCATCCCATATGGGCACCGGTTCAAGATCCGGCTGCTCCACTTCCATTCCAGCTCTCTGCTATGGCCTGGGAAAGCAGTGGAAGATGGCCCAAGTCCTTGGGCCCCTGCACCCATGTGGGAGACCCAGAGGAAGCTCCTGGCTCCTGGCTTCGGATCAGCACAGCTCCAGCCGTTGTGCGGCCAATTGGGGAGTGAACCAGCAGATGGAAGACCTCTCTCTCTCTATGCCTCTCCTCTCTCTGTGTAACTCTTGACTCTCAAATAAATAAATAAATCTTAAAAAAAAATTCTTTGATGCTTTGTCCTGACAATTCTATTTTAAAAATAAATTTTGTGATCCCAACAGATTCCCTTCCAAAAAGCAACCGGGGTCTTTCTATCAGGACCTGTGTCAAATGCACAGTGCACTCTCTGACATCCGCTGTCTGTGGAGCAGGTGTCAGCCGCGGCACTGCTGCCACCATGGGCAATCGGTGGGCAATTGGCAGGCTCAAGCGAGGAGCATCCACATGAGTGCTGCTTTGAGTCCTGGCTGTTCACTTCCAATCCGTCTCCTGGCTACTGTGCCTGGGAAAGTAGGGAAGATGGCTCAAGTGCTTGGGCCCCTGCCTACCAGCTGGGAGACCTGGATGGACTTTCAGGCTCCTGGCTTCGGCCTGGTCCAGTGCTGGACATTTGCGGCCATTTGCAGTCATTTGCAGCCATTTGGGGGAGTGAACCAGCAGATGGAAGCGCGCGCTCTCTCTCTCTCTCTCTCTGTAAGCAGCTCAAATAAATAAATAAAACAAACAACAAAGCACCAGGCATAGGTCGGTGTTGGTGGCAGGCAGGGGAGTTGGTGCGTACACTGGCAAATGGGCAGTGTTTGATTTTATGCGATGCTGCTGTGTGTCTAGGGCACTGGATGTGCAGGGACAGCTGAGCCTGTCCACTGCAGGGAGAAGTGAGAGGGAGGCAGGACTGGACCACCGGGGAGCCTCGCTGGTCAGGATCACACAATGCCACTGCCGCTCGTTGGCCCTAGGGCCTGCAGGTCTGTCATTATGCATCCACATCTAATCTGAGATGCTTCAGAAACCAAAACTTTGAGAGTCAACATGACACCACAAATGAAAAATTCCACACCATGAAATTAGAAAACACTGCACACAATCACCTTCAGGCTATGCATAGAGTGTGCACGTGAAACCTAAATGAAACTTATGTTTAGACTTGGGTCCCATCGCCAGTATAATCTCATTATAAATAAGCCAAGATTTAATATCTGGAAAAGTCTGCAATACCCCTGGTCCCAGGCATTTCAGATAAGGGATCTTCAACTGGGCATGCCTGGGCACGCCCACCTCTGCAGACACTGAGGTGATCCCGCTCAGGGGCTGGCTCATGGTCAGCCCTGCTCCGTCACCTTTGAGAAGTGTTGTGGGTCATCAGAGAGCATCATGGGATCACGGGAGTGGCACTCAGTCAGCTTCCCACCCCCGCCATCGGGGACCAGCGCTGCTCACAGCTACTGTGAAGGCAGACTGCAGCGAGGGCTTGTGGGTCTCATCAGTGAGATCTGCCTTGGGTTCTGCTTTGCTTGACTTTGGGCCCTCCTGGGGCTGGCCGCACTGCTGGGCAGCTTCTGGGGAAGTCCCCAAACCAACTTACTCTTTTGGGGGATTCAGGTCCTCAGGTCGCGTCTCAAAGAACTGCAGCACCTCGTCACACTGGGAGATATAGGGCGGCAGCTGGATCAGAGCCTGCGGAAGAGAGACGCAGCTGAGTCTCGAAGCAGCATGGACTGTCAGGAGTGCTACCAGGCTCCGGCCTCGAACTCGGGCAGGCCTCAGGCTCACGGGCCCGGCTTTACTCAAACACGGATCTCTGGGTCCCGCCCCGGGGATTCTGACTCACTGAGTCTTTGACGGGAACAAAGAACGTGTATTTCTAACAAATTCCCTGGTGATGCTGATGCTGTTGGTCTGAGGAACACACACACACACACACACACACACATATACATACACACACGCTATTATGTATATAAATATACACACATGCACATATTAAAAGCATACTTGCACAAATAATATACACACATTTACAGAAAATCAGACCATACTGTACATGTGATTTTGCAAACAGATGGTTTCTCTTAACAATACATTGTGAGCTTCATGCTACTGTGTTGTTCTTCCACAATATCATCAACACCGCATGCTGGACACCTAGTGCATACATGTATCATACTGGTGGACATTTAGTTTCTTTCTAACATGCTTGCATACAACGGCATGTCCAAAAGCTTGTGGAAAATGGAATTAAAAGATCAGTTTAATAAAAATTTTTGAAATCTATGCATATTTTTCCTAATATGCATTTACATGAATTTTTTAAAAAAGATTTATTTTATTTATTTGAAAAACAGATTTACACAGGGAGAGAGAGGGAGAAGCAGAGAATCTTCCATCTGCTGGTTCATTCCCCAAATGGCTGCAACAGCCTGGGCTAGGCCAGATTGAAGCCAGGAGCCTCTTCCAGGCCTCCCATTTGGGTGCAGGGGCCTAAGCACTTGGGCTATCCTCTGCTGCTTTCCTAGGTACATCAGCAGGGAGCTGGACTGGAAGCAGGGCAGCCGGAACTTGAACTGGTGCCCATATGGGATGCTGGTGCCACATGCGGTGGCTTAACACAGTAGACCACAGTCCCTCCATGAACTTTTAGAGATTGTTAACTATTATCTTTTGTTATCTTAACTATTCTCAAGGGTACAGGGCAGTAGCATCAGCACATGCATATTGTACTACTATCACCACCATCCATCCACAAAACTCTTTTCACCTCGCACAACTGAAACTCTGCACCCACTATATAATAACCCCCAACTGACACCCCCTCCCCCAACCGGCAGCCACCACCGACTTTTGGTCTCCATGTAAGTGGAAAGCAGGGTAATGGTCCTTTTGTGTCTGGCTGACTTTGCTTAGAAAAATGTCCTCAGGACCCATCGATGCCATGGCACGTGTCAGAATTTCCTTCCTTTTTAAGGCTGAATAATGTTCCACCGTGTGGACCACATTTTGCTCACCCATTTAGCTGTCAATGGACGAGCGGCTGACCCTACAGGATTTTTGAGTCAGGAGCTAACAAACTCACCCCCTACTTACAGTGGAAACACACAATGTGGGTGGGTGGGTGGTTCAGTAGGGCACCTGGCCTGGTCAGGGGCCACTCTTCTGTCTGTCCAGGGTAAAGGATGCTAACCTAAATGCTCACTGGCTTTTTAAAAATTAGTCCTTAAGTAGCTCCTGCTCTGGGTAAATCCCCAGGGACTGAGGTGGCGTCCCAAGAGGGAAAGGAGCAGGCATCTCCTCCCCAGCCTCTCACTCCCTGTTTTCTAGATCATCAGAAATACCCTTTTCATTGATGGATAATAACTGCACACATCTGTGGGGCCCACCTCCCCTTTCTGACCCTCGTCCTCTTTCTGGTCATGTTCCTGCCCAGGATGAGCAGGGCCCCTGTGGCTCTCCCTTCTTGGAAATCCTGCAGCTCCAGCAGTTGGAGCCGCATAACGAAGGAGCTGGACCACGTGCATCCCTGCTTCTCTGCGTGCAAGTATCTTGCAGCTCCCCCAGTCGGCAATCACAACACTCTCTGACCCTGGCTCAGCACCTGATGGCTCCTGGAATGATCCATCTGAGTCACTGGATGCAATCCTGCAGGCCTGGCCCCTTTTAGAGAAGGAGAAATGGAGGCTCTGGAGAGAAGACTTGGACTGGACAGCCCAGGACTGATACTCCAGTCCTCTATCTCAAATCTCCAGAGGCTGGGAGGTGGCGGCTGCTCCTTCTCCACCTGCCCTACATGCCTAGGCACTGCTGGGAAAGACCATGGCATCCGGTCCAAAAGCATGCACTGGATAACCAACACGAGGGAGAGGCCCGGCCCTGGCCACATGGTTCTGCTACAGGCCGGCTGGGAGGGCATGGGACACAAGTCCTGGAGTGGCCATCCTTCCTGCCCAGAAGTGGACCACTGAGAGACAGGACACAAGGCCCACAGAAACCTCCCAACAAGGCCAAGCTGTTCTGCTTCTGAGCTATTGCTAGGAGGCAAAAGCCAAACCAAACCCCCAAACCATTTAAAATAAGCCAACTTGCTAATAACAGGCAGTGCTGGCTGCTTTGATGTGTCTGCCCCTTTCATTTAGGAGAGACGGGCTAACAGAAAACACTGACCCAGCATGGAGAAGTAATCCTTCTCCTGAAACACACCAGGACTGTCCCAGACTTGGGCAGCAGAGATAAAGAACCACAGTTTTAGCAGAAGTCCGTTCTGTTCTAGAAGGGATCCCGGTGCTCCGGGCTGGTGTGGCTGATCTTTGTGGGGACGAGAGGAGAGCAAGTCCTGCTTGCTGAGGGTAACCACAGGAGATCAGACAGAAGAACCAGCCCCTTATTCTGTCTCTGTTACTTCCCAGCTGAATGGTTGTAGAAGGTCAAGACCTATTCCTGCTCTGAGCCTCAGGCTGCTCATCTGTAAAATGGAGTGAAAACCATGCATCTGGGAGATGTGCACTACAGAGTAACTGACGGTGTAAGGTCCCCATCACAGACCAGCTGCAGGACACACATCAGCCAAGCCCTTCCCTGTTCTGTACCAACTACAACAACATGGTGGTTCCCATGGGCAGCAAGGTGTTCACGTTACATAACAGCACCTTGGCTGCTGACAAAGTTAGTGTTTTCTCAGGTCTCTTCCAATCCTTTATGACTTCAAAAGAAAGCCCCAGAGAAGTAACACTGCTCTAATACTTCCCCAGGGCCAGCCCTGGCTCTGCAGGGTCTCAGGTAGGCAGGCAACAGCAACCAGCTAACCAGCTGGATTTAAAAACTGTGCTAGTTGTTGTGGTTGTTTTGTTGTTGTTTTTGCTTTTATCATGACACATGATGGCAGTTTTTAAAATACGGTTCTGATATCTAGTTTTCTCTAAAACATATCATCTTATGAAGTCTAAAGAGTTACTTATTTTTTAAAAAAGAAATAGGGGAGCTCCTATCCAGTGGTTTCCTGCAAGGTCTGGCGTGGGCAGGGCTGAAGCCAGAAGCCAGGAGCTCAATCCAGGTCTCCTGTAGGTGCCAGGAACTCCATTACTTGAGCCATCATGTTGCCTCCGAGGGTCTGCATTAGCAGGAAGCTGGAGTCAGGAGCCAGGTATTCAACCCAAGGACTCTGACATGAGATACAGGCGTCTTAACCAGTGTCTCAACTACTGGGCCAAACGCCTGCCCCTAAGGAGTGAGTTAAAGAAAATAATAACACAGGTGGTAGGATGCAACAAAAATCTGTAAAGAAAGCGTCAAGTGACTGCAGTCTGTCTAATGCTATCTCCCTGGCAAAGGCAGATCTCTTCATCCCTTTCCTGGTAAAAACACTGGCGCCTTGGGGTCACCCTGCTCGGCAGGAAGTTCCTGCTGGTATCCTCCCCAGAGGCCACTGACCCTCAGACCACATGAGCTGCTCCACACCAGTGCACCTGACTTCTCCCCAGCGTCAGACATTCCTCACTCTCAGGGCTTCACCAAGCCCTGGGCCCGTGACACTGAAAAGGAAATTTAAAATCTGGAAGTGATAAGGGATCGAGACCAGCAGCTGCCTGCAGCTGCCTACATCTGCCTGATGTTTGGAATGCTACAGAGATCTGTTTCACCTGGATTAACCACAGGAAGAAACTGCTTATGTTACACGAGCCACATGGAAGTTCCCACCCCCTGCTATTAATGAATCATAGGAAACGGAGCAGATATTTTGGGATTTTTGACTGGCCAGATTCCTCTTAGCTCCAAAGGATCTGCCCTCTTGGAGGGAGATGAAACTTTGCAAAAGATCTGCAAAGTCTTTTACAGAAAACGGAGACTCTCCCAGAAATTAGGGTATCTGTTACTGACCTATTGTGAACTGATCCTTTATGTTATTAGGCAGTAGTCACCTCTAATAGATTGAGCTACACAAGGGCAAGGGTTCATGTATTTCAATGGAAGGAACTTTCTGCTCCACCACAGTAACTGACATGGTATTATGTTGGCATAATGATGGACAAACACTGGAACAAAACTGAGAACCCAAAGACGGCCCCATTGATATTTGGATTTTGATGCTAAGGTAACCCTGCAGCGCACTGAGGAAACAAATGGGTCTCTGTGTGAGAAGACAAAAATGATAACTAACCCCTACCTCACACCATACAGGAAATCACTACCAAGAAAACTAAAGATGTGAATGTCGTAAGAGGTTTTAGGAGACAAAAATACGGAAATAGCTTTATAATCTCAAGGTTTAGAGGGAGCTGCAAAGACACACGGAGTACTAACCACGCAAAGATGGATTTGCTTGCCTCCACTGAATTTAAGAATTTGTGTTCTGGCCTGGCGTTGTGACGTGGTGGGTAAAGCCACTGTCTGATGCCGGCATCCCATGTCCCCGCTGCTCCAATTCCAATCCAGCTCCCTGCTAATGCACCTGGGAAAGCAGTGGAAGACGGCCCAGGTCCTTTTGAGACTCAGATGGAGTTTCAGGTTCCTGGATTCAGCCTGGCCCCAGCTGTTGCAGCCCCAGCTGTTGCAGCCATATGGGGAGTGAACCAGGGGACAGAAGGTGTCTTTCTCGCTCTCTCTGTAACTGCCTTTCAAATAAATAAATAAATCTTAAAAACAAAAACAAAGCCCTGCTCTTGAGGGAACTCACTCACTCTTTGAGACCAGCATTAATCTCTTCAGAGTGCCTCCATGACCTAACCACCTCTCACTAGGAACCACCTCTTCAAGGTCCCACCACTGCAACACGGCCACACTGGGGCCTGAGCTTGCCACACCCAGGCCACATCCAGACAACACTGCCTCTGATTCTTCAGTCTCTTGATTTTATTTTTTTTAGGGAGGCCACATGGTATGTGAGTGCTGAGGCACAAAAGGCATAGGTTCAGCTCCCAAACCTTCCTATACTATTACTGGAAGTAATTTTGTTTGCCTTCATGTCCTCATCTACACAATGAGAATAATAAAACCTTCTCAGGGCCGGTGGTGTGGTGTAGCAGGTAAAGTCGCTGTCTGAGGCGCTGGCATCCCATGTGGGTGCCGATTCCTGACCTGGCTGCTCCACTTCCAACCCAGCTCTCTGCTGATGCATCTGGGGAAGCAGCAGAAGATGGCCCAAGTGCTTGGGCCCCTGCACCCATGTGGCAGACCTGGAAGAAGCTCCTGGCACCGAGCTTTGGCCTGGCTCATCCAGGCTATTTGGGGAGTGAGCCAGCAGATGGAAAGCTCTCTCTCTCTCTAACTCTGCCTTTCAAATAAATAAATAAATCCATCTTAAAAGAATAATAAAAATAAAAGGAAAACCTTCTTCTTCAAGTTGCTGGAGGAATGACACCAGTTTGGGTTCAGCCCTTCCTCGGCGTCTCTGGCCACGCGACGGCTCATCTGCCCCTGCATTGACCCTTCGTTACCTTTTTCTCTTGTATAATTTAAATACCATAAAATCTACCCATTGTAAGTGCACAGTTCCATGATAAGTAGTAAATTACAGAGCTGCGCAACCATCACCACAATCTAGTTTTAGAACTTTTCCATCGCCTCAAAAAATCTCCTCCAACCTAATTGGCAGTCCATCTCCACTTCCACCGCCCCCAGGCCCAGGAAACCACGGACATACTTTTTGTCTCCACGAATTTGCCTTTTCTGCACATTTCAGAGAAATGGCGTCACACAATACATAGTCTCTCACAGCTGCCGTCTTTCACTTCGCCTTGTGCCCTTGCGATTCTTCCAGGTTGCAACACGGACCGGTCTCTCACAGCTGTGTACTGCCAAGTAACACTCGACTGTGTGGAGATGCCACTGTTTTCTTTGTTCGCCACTTGATGCACATGTGGATTGCTTCCAGTTTTGGGCTATTATGAACTAATGCTGCTATGAACATCTACAGACAAGTTCTTGCTCTTGCGTATCTACCCGACAGGTGACGTGCTAAGTCTGACTTTTGAAGAAACTGCCAGATTACCTTCCTGGATGGCCTCCTGCGTTACATCCCCCACCAGCACAGGGGACCCAATTTCTCCACCTCCTCAGCTGCACTTGGTGTTGTGTGTCTTGTTGACTGCACCATTCTTAGCAGGCATCTCATTATGGTTTTAGTTTATTTCATCTTTTCATGTGCTTATTAGTCACTCCTGTGTCTCCATGGGGGGAATTTCTGTTGCAATCTTTTTTCCCCATTTCAAAATTGGGTTGTCTTTTTAATCATTGAGTTGTAAGAGTTCTTCACTTAGTCACAACACAAATATCTTACCAGATAAAAAGATTTACAAATATTTCCTCTGGTCTGTAGCACATCTTTCATTTCCTAATGGTATCTTTTTTTTTTTTTTAAGATTTATTTATTTATTTGAAAGGCAGAGTTATAGAGCGAGAAGGAGAGGTAGAGACAGAAAGAGAGAGGTCTTCCATCTGCTGGTTCACTCTCCAGTTGGCTGCACCAGCTGGAGCCACTCCAATCTGAAGCCAGGAGCCAGGAGCTTCTTCTGTGTCTCCCATGAGGATGCAGGGCCTCAAGGACTTGGGCCATCTTCTACTGCTTTCCCAGGCCATAGCAGAGAGCTGGATTGGAAGTGGAGTGGCCAGGACTAGAATCGGCACCCATATGGGAAGCCAGCACTGCAAGCAGTGGCTTCACCCACCACGCCACAGCGTGCACACTGCCCCCCACCCCCATGGTATCTTTTGAGGCACAGAAGTTTATAAGTGGATTTAATGAAGTCCAATTTTACCAAGTTTTCTTTTATGACTCCTACTTTTGGTGTCATATCTTCAAAAACTCTTCTTCTATCTCAAGGTCATGAAGATTTTCTGTTCTTCTTACAGAAGTTCTATAGTTTCAGCTCTTATATGTAGATATTGTGATCCATTTTGAGTTGATTTGTGTGTGGCCCTAGATGAAGGTACCCACTTCATTTTTTTGGCAGGTGTAGAGTTGCTGTGTGGAAGTCTTAATCCCTGGTACCTCTGAATGTGACAATACTTAAATTTGGAGGCAGGGTCTTTAAAGAGTTGATTTAAAGTTAAATGAAGTCATTAGGGCTAGGCTTTGCCCAACACAACTGGCATCATGATAAGAAACAGAGATCAGGACCCAGACAGCTACGGAGGAGAGACCATGAAAAAAACACAGGCGGGGCAGCCATGAGCCAGGCCAGGGAAGGCCTTTGAATGCCCCTCTGCTTAGATTCCCAGCTCCCAGAACCCAGAGAATACAGACGTCTATTGTTCATGCCACACAATCCGTGGTGTTTTGTTCCCCAGCCCTAGGAAACCAGTGCAATGGCATGGTCCCAACTGTTTACTGAAGCCTGTGTTTTTTTTTTTTTTTCCACCATTGAATTATCTTGGCATTCTGTTGAGTATCAATGGACCAAAAAGTTACAATAGTTTAATTCTGCACTCTCAAAGCTGTTCCACTGACTTATACGCTTGTCCGGATGCCAGTACTATATTGTCTTGATCATTGTAGCTTTGCAGGAAGTTTCAAAAATGAGTAGTACAGGCCGGCGCTGCGGCTCACTAGGCTAATCCTCCACCTTGCGGCGCCGGCACACCGGGTTCTAGTTCCGGTCGGGGTGCCGGATTCTGTCCCGGTTGCCCCTCTTCCAGGCCAGCTCTCTGCTGTGGCCTGGGAAGGCAGTGGAGGATGGCCCAAGTCCTTGGGCCCTGCACCCCATGGGAGACCAAGAGAAGCACCTGGCTCCTGCCATCGGATCAGCGCAGTGCGCCGGCCGTGGCGGCCACTGGAGGGTGAACCAACGGCAAAGGAAGACCTTTCTCTCTGTCTCTCTCTCTCTCACTGTCCACTCTGCCTGTCAAAAAATAAAAAATTAAAAAAAAAAAAATGAGTAGTACAATGTCTCTAGTTTTTTGTTTTTGTTTTTTTTTTTTGAAAGTGTTTTCATTATTCTGGGTCCTTTGCATTCCTATATACACTTTAGGATCAGCTTGTCAATGTCCATAAAAAAAAGTCTGCTAGGATTTTGACAGGGATTGTACGGAATATGTAGATCAAACCGGGGAGATCTGCCATCCCGATGATACTGGGTCTTCCAATCCACGAGTACTGAAACACTGCTGCTCCGCTGGGGTAGACTTTTCAATTTCTATTTGCAATGCTTGTCGTTTCAGTGTGTACATTCTGCATCCTTCTGTTAAATTTATTTCTAAGTATTTTATTCTTTTCCATGCCATGTGAGTAGATTTGCTTTTTTAGTTTCATTTCTGGATTATTCATTCCAAGGATACAGAAATATAATTGATGTTTGAACATCAATCTTGTATCCTGTGAATGTACTAAACCTACTTATTCATCTAGTGTTTTGTGTGTGTGTGTGTGTGTGTGTGCGTGTGTGTGCGTGTGTATGTGTGGATTTCTTGGGATTTTCTACAGTTAGGATTGTGGTATCTGAGTGCCTCCGTTTGAGTCTGGATGCCTTTTTCATGGGCTTACACTGGCCGTGTAAAAACACAGAACACACTGGGCAAGAATGAACTACCTCTCTTTGTTCTCCAGCTAAAGGGGAAATCGGTCACTGCTCCACTTTTAAGGGCATTCCTTGCTACTTCCACCCCTCTTCTACTGGAACTGCTACTGATTTTGAAGCTGGAGAAATAAATACTTAAGGGAAGCTAAACAAAAACATACTCTTTCCTGACCACAGCCTCAAATACAGTGAAACAGAGCCCAAAGCCAGGCCCCTCGTTTGGAATGTCCTGGTGATAAGAAGCCAGCTGCACCCTGCAACAACAGGGGGACTGCCTGGGCAATTCTGGAAACATCCATGCACAAGGGACTACTATGCAGCCGCCAAAAGTGAACTAGAAGAGAGGACCCCTACGGCTCCAGACATCAAGGAATGACAAGGAGACGGGAATGCTAACTTCTGAGATTTTTCTCAGTGTCTGCTGCATAAAGGTCTTGAGATGTCACACTGAACTCCACAAACATGTACAATGATCACACGCCAATCACGGAATGCTTAAAGCTCTGTGGAATGTTTAAAAAAACAGAACGATTAAAAAAATAAAAAGTAAGCTCAAGAGAATATTTTAGTAGCATAGGCGAGTTCTTGTGTTACAGAATTCGGACAACTGAAACAACACATACACGATGGTCTCAGACCACAAAGAACTGCATGGACACAGAAAAGGGGAAAGAAATATGTACAATCCTTCCCAAGTTCGGCGCAGGGTTGAGGGATCCTGGGTGGTTCCCACCTCCTGCCCCTGCCCAGATTCCTTTCAATGGCCCAGTTTTTTTCCACAGTGAGCATTTTGTAGCCAGCAAAGGAAAACGATGCTCACAAGGCAGACCATGTGGGCATCTCGTGGCCTTACCTTGCAGTATTCATCGATGGGTACCAGGCGTTTGACGGCCACGTCCCGGATGTGGCTCCGGCGGAAGAGAATCTTGCCTGCGGAAGATGAGAGCACGCACAGCGTTGGAAGGGGGTGGTGACAAGCTCTCGGCAGCCTGGCAAGGTGTGGCCGTGGCTGTCTCAGGGGTACGCCTGAGGGGTCCCCAAACTCCTGGCTGCCACCAAGAACTCCCTGCTGGGCTTTCCCATGCGAGGTCCCCCCAAATCTTGCTCACAGCTCTAGCACACGGGCTTGGGGGAATGACACCCAGTGAGTCAGTTTTGGGGAGACAAAGGTGGCTGGGGACCATTAGGGGAAGGGATGAGGAAAGCAGCAGAGGCCTGATGGCACAAGATCCTACGCAACTCCAGGACTCTCAGGTGGGTGAGCAGGACACGGACACCAGATGTGCCCTGGCCCAACAGCTGCTCCCTCCCACCCACGCCTCACACACTTTCTGTTCTTGTCTCATATTCCCCCAACCTCCACGCCTTCTTCTATGCCTGGAACACCCCACCCCCATGCAGCCCTACACCCCACTCCTTTTTGGGAACACTCACGCCCTTCCAATGGGTTAAATGCTCCTGTCTCTCGGGAGTGTGCACATCCCATTCCCTATTCTGCAGGCACTGCTCGTGGGGCTGGGCCCACACAGGGGCTGCTGGGCCTCAATGTTGTGGCACCAACTTTGGTCAATGCACAAATGAGGCTTTTGCTAGCAAAGGTGACAAACCCAGTTAGCGTCTGGGTCCCGAGTCTTCCTTCTGCACTAAATACCTGCCACTAGTCCTCCCACTGCTCAGGAACATCTCAACACCTGGGCACGGTGTTAAACACCTCCAGGATGACACACAGGCGGCGAATGTGGGCCACAGGGAAAGACGGGCACAACTGCTGAAGATCCCCAGAAAGATCCAAGATGTTGAGGTGCTAAGGATGAGGTCTGCTGGAAGCAAGTCAGTGGGTTCCCAAGAATCTAGACAGGGGATCCCCCCATGGGTACATGGCAGAAAAGCACACACATTCAAGGTTTACCTACCTGATCTGTCACAAGGGAGGGGCTGAAGGAAATGCAGAAATAAGACATCAAGGAGATGTCTTGATAGTTTGAGTTCTGGCTACTCCACTTATGATCCAGCATCCTGCTAACGCACACCCTGGGAGGCAGCAGGTGATAGCTCAAGCACATGGGTCCCCGCCACCCACACGGAAGACCCACATGGAAGAGTTCTAGGCTCTTGGCTTCAGCCTGGCCAAGCCCTGGCTGTTGTGGGTACTTAGGGACTAAGCCAGTGGATGGAAGACCTTTGTCTCTCAAATACATAACTAAAAATTTATCTATCTATCTATCTATCTATCTATCTATCTATCTATCTATCTATCGCTACATGGAGCTAGCACAGACCTTGGTCATGGGCACAGGCCCATTCTGAGAGCCCAATGGGAGGACCCACCCAAGGCTCAGGCTATGGGATTAGAGACTGAAAACAGGTGCATTCAGCATTTCTTAAGGTGTGACACAAGGACAAAGATGTCCCTCCTCCTCTGCCCCGTGTGGCCTCAGGGGACAGGGGCCTCTGGGTATAAGTCTGGAGATCTGTCAGCAAGGGGGGGCTCAGGAACCTGGTGGCAGCAGCAGGGCCTTCTGGGGAGGCCACAGACCAACCCCAGGGCTGCCTCCTGCCAGCTGTGTTGCCATGGAGAAAGCACTTAGCACTTAGAGCCTCGGTCTCCTCATCTGTAAAATAGGAGAGCAGATCTTAATTCTTCGAAGTAATCTCCATGCACCCAGCAGCAGGGCTGGCCTGCTGTCGCAAATGCTCCCTACTTTTCTTTGCAAAGCAGTTTGGGGGACACCACTTCACCTTATACACTCAAGAGCACGTGTCCCCTTCTCACCCCCAGCTTTCCTAAGGCTCACTGAGCTACAGCAGAGCCGCTTGCTGTTCCAGCCCCGCTCTGAGGTCAAACTGTGTGGCCAGCGGGTCAGGCCCATGAGCCACAGCCTCTGTGGCCAGGCCCTTGTTGGTGCAGAAGCCTCCAAGTGCAGCGTCTGTTTGCCAGCCTGGGAAGGAGGGTGAGATGCTGCTGCCTTCCTGGAGAGGAAAGGGTGTCTGGTGGGAAGGGCCGGCTTTTGTTTTCCATCGTGGAGGAAGGCCAAACTGTAATTCTTCTTTTCAAGCCGCCAGCTCTGCCAAGTCGGCCTCCCCAGCTCCTGCTGGGCTGGAAAACTGCAAAGCGGCCGCCCCTCCCCTCCCCCTGTCCTGGCTTTGTTCTGCTGATGCAGCAGCAGTCTTGGCCCCCTAGGAGCCCCGACCACCCTTTTGTGCCTCCCTGCCCTTGGCCTTGGCCAAGAGGGGGCACAGAGGTCTTGGGGCCAACAGGGCCTCTCCAGGCCACAAGTGGGTGCTTTGTGTCCCTGAGAACAGCGTTTTCATTAATTTTGGGGTGGAAAAGGATTACGTAACCACGAAGGCTTTTAAGAGCTTGGGAGAGGGTCGGGATCAAGTTCTTCTCTGTCTTGGGAAGGTTTCCCAGAGCTGGGTTTGCCTTTCATCCAGTAAAGAATTGTAACTCACTGCTTTCCTTTCCTGCCCTGATGGAAAATCTACATTTAGAGCTCTGTTTAACTGGAATATCAGATTGGGCTTTTAAGGAAGACCCCAACACAGGAAACCGAGCAATTCCAAAGCCACGTCCCAGGCCGTGTTGCTGCCTTGACTGAGGACCTGCTATGCGCCACTTACAAGTGTGGGCACAGTCTCATGGAGGGTGGGGACGATGTGGCCTGCTGGAGGCCACAGGGCTGGGCTGGTTGGCTCCAAAGCCTTGGTACTTGGCCGCAGCAGCCGGCGCGGTGTGTTTTCTCCATCGTGGTCGTACACTTTGCTGGCAAGGAACTAAAATGTTGGCTTCTTGGGGCAAAGGATTCTCCCACTGGAAGGAGTGGGGTGGCGACCACACCGTCCCTGTCTCTTAACTCTAACTGACAATGTCAACACCTGGGGAACCCACCGGTGTCCTGCAGGGGTGGGGCGAGGGGTGGGACTCCCCGCCCCCCCATGGGGCCTGAAAAGGGAGAAAGACCTGAAGGGACCCCCTAGCTCTAAGTATCTGAGACTCAGAGTAACTGTCACTTTGCTGATCATGTGTCCATGAAAATAACAGTAAGAGGGCTGGCCGTGTGGCCCCGGTGGCGGGACGTTGGTTAAGACACTCACACCCCTCATCAGAGTATGCCTGGCTCCTGACTCCCGACTCCAGCCTCCTGCTAACCTGGATGGAGTTCCAGCTGGGGCCCCTTGTGGGCATTTGGGGAGGGAACCAACTGATGGGAGCTCTCTGCCTCTCAAACGAATGAATGAATAAAAATAACAGTAAGTGCTTGACAGCCCTTAGCTATCTGCCAGCCATTTACACACCCCTCATAACAACTCTACTATTTGCATTCCATTATCAGCTTCAATTTGCAAATGATGAAATGAAATGCTATCAAAGCTATTTAAGCCATCTGCCCAAGGTAACAGGGTTGGTGAACAGGGGATGCTGGGATGGGGACCCAGGTCATCCAACTCCAAGTATGACGTCTAGAGTCAGCCATGCTGTGTCTGGACCTCAATTCTGTCACCTGTAAAATGGGCATAGTGGTCCTTACCCTGCAGTAAATAAAATTATGAACGTTAAGCACTTCACCCAGCCACTGACCCACAATAGATAGCTGCCTGCCCATATCAGAGTGCCTGGATCCAAGTCCAGGCTCCGCTTCTGACTCCAGCGTCCTGCTGAAGTGCACAGTGGGAGGCAGCAGATGATGGCTCAAGTACTTGGGTCTCTGCTACCCATGTGGGAGACCCAGATGGAGCTCCTGGCTCCTGGCTTCTGCGAGACCCAACCCTAGCCATTGCGGGTAGTGGATGGAAGATCTCTCTCCTATCTTTCAAATACAATACAAAGTAATACATAAGAATGTTTAAAAAAACATTTACTTATTTATTTGAAAGGCAGAGCTTCAGAGACTGAGAGGGAGAGGCAGAGGGACCCTCCAATCACTGGTTCACTCCCAAAATGGCCACAACGGCCAGAGTTGGGCCGATCTGAAGCCAGGAGCCAGGAGTTTCTTCCGGGTTTCCCACATGGGTGCAGGAGCCCAAGGACTTGGGCTATCTTCCGCTGCATTAGTAGGAAGTTGGATCAGAAGTGGAGCAGCCAGGACTGGAACTGGCACCCATATAGGGTGCCAGCACTGCAGGTGGCTTTACCCATTATGACACAGTGCTAGCCCCAAATAAAAATTTTAAAAAACGATAGTAGTGATTATTACTTTAAGTAGTAATTTTCTTTAAGTAAAATGGATTGGGTAACTCAGTTTTTCAGCTGAAGAAGCTTTGGTACCATTCTTTGGTAAGGAATTTGGGGTGCAAAGGATGGATGCCGAGTGTCTTCAGACCAGGGCTGAGCCATGATGGCATTAAATTCTGCCCGCGACTGGCCTGGCACCTGAAGCTGTGGTAGGCAGAAATTCTGAACGGGTCCCCAAAACTGCCCTGCTCTGATCCACAGAGCCCAGGCACACAATGCACTATTGTACATTGTATCCCCCCAAAGACAAGGAGATCATCCTGGATCAGCCAGAGAATCCCAGAGCCCCCAGGAGCAGGCAGCTTTCTCTGAATGGCGGCGGGAGGGGAGGTCAGAGGGATGTGAAGCACAAGACTCCCTGCTGGGCCCCAGTCCACAGGGATCTTGTATCGCGGCAAGGAACTGACTTCTGCCAACGCTCTGAGTGAGGCTGGAAGTGGATTCTTCCCAAGGTCCTCCAAACAAGAGCTCAGTCCAGCTGACACCTTGACTTTGGCCTTGGAGACCCTAAACAGAGAACCCAGCTGAGCCTGCCTGAACTTCTGAACCACAGAACTGTGAGATAATAAATGAGCGTTGTCTTCAGCTGTGGAACTGGCAGTAATTTGTTATGCAGGAGTAGAAAACTAATTCAGTAATAACAAGAGAAGCCACTCACTACAAAAACTTTCTGAACTCCATTTGTCCCCATTTTAGAGATGGGAGCAACTGAGGATCCAGAGATGACGGTCTGGCTCAAGGTTTACAGCACCTGGACGGGGCAGGATCTATCTCTGCAGCCCATCTTCTCGGTCACCTCTTCCATAAGCGACTGGGACTGGCCAGGGGACAACATGCCCAGATAAAGGAGAAGAAGCCGATTCGGTGTCCTGAGAGATCCCAGGAGCTGTTCTGGAGTCCCCCGGAGCTGCCAGGGGGGGGCACCTGTCTCACCTACCTGGCAGAAAGGGAATGATCCGCTGTTTGGGGTCCTTCTGTCCTCCTTCCATGGGAAATTTGTCCAGCATCTGCATCTAAATGGGAAGAGAATACCAAATAGAGACACTTTTCACAATACTATAAATGCATCTCTGATGTCATAAAGGAATTGCGTGGGACATCAGACTTGATATCCAGGAAGTTCACTTTGTTCAAATTTCCAGACACCCGAACTAATGGCGAAGGCAATTTTCAACCCAGAATTTTTTTTTTTTTTTTTGACAGGCAGAGTGGACAGTGAGAGAGAGAGACAGAGAGAAAGGTCTTCCTTTGCCATTGGTTCACCCTCCAATGGCCGCCGCAGCCGGTGTGCTGCGGCTGGCGCACCGCGCTGATCCGATGGCAGGAGCCAGGAGCCAGGTGCTTTTCCTGGTCTCCCATGGGGTGCAGGGCCCAAGCACCTGGGCCATCCTCCACTGCACTCCCTGGCCATAGCAGAGAGCTGGCCTGGAAGAGGGGCAACCGGGACAGAATCCGGCGCCCCGACAGGGACTAGAACCCGGTGTGCCGGCGCCGCTAGGCGGAGGATTAGCCTAGTGAGCCACGGCGCCGGCCTCCAGAAATTCTTTACATCTGCCGCTTGTCAGACTTGTGAAGGCTCAGAATGGAGAGAGACCACTCTCAGCTCACATGGGAGCGACACCCTCAGGGCCACTGGACATCAGATTACGCTGGTGCCTACGACAACCACAAACCACTGGGGCGGGCGCTGGGGACACCCACATCCCATATCACAGTGCCTGGGATCAAGGCCCACTTCCTCTTCCCACTCAGCTTGCTGCTAATGCACTTGGGAGGCAGCAGGTGATTGCTCAAGTACTTGGGGTCCTGTCCCCGACGTGGGAGACCAGATGGCATTCCTGCCGCAGATGTCTGGGGGATAAAAGAACAGACGGGAAATCTCTCTATCACTGCCCCCATCACCCCACATTTCAAATAAATAATAGAAATCTTTTTAATAAGGAAAACACCATGAAGACCCAGTTGGTATGGTTAGGTTTATGCCTCTGAGGTCACTATGTCTCCTGATCCACTCTGAATTCCCCAGGCTGGCTCAGCAGGTATCTCCATGCTCTGTGCCTGGCCTGTGCTGCTACGTGATGAAAAGGGCCAGAGTCTAGAGAGGAGCCTGAAAAATAAACTGATAGCTCTAAGGTGGGCTTGGAGACAGGCAGGTGTAGGCTGCTGTAAAGAGAGAAGGGGGATCTGCTTCTTACTCCCTGTGTGGCTTGGGGACCCTGACAACCTTTAAGGGTCTGATCTTTAAGTTGGTTGTAATTGTCACTAGTGTTGTCACCAAGCGCTTCTGAGCACGAGGGCGGGGGGGAGGGAAGCTCTGTACTCTCTCCACCCCCCTCGAAGGGGAATGCATTGGATTCAGTGCAAGCATGAGAGATAAGCGTCACATCATGGTGGTCCATCTGACAGGTGCGTGGTTGACCACTCTCCACTGCCCTCTGCTACGGGGACTGGCCACACACCAGAGTGGCTTCTCTGCCAGCAGGGTGCAGTGGGAAGGGTCCAGAGCCCCCGACAACCTCTGATGGATGTTCTGCCAAGTGAGGGACAAGAAGCTGCCCAGTGAGGCTACTTGTTGGAGTGGTGCATCCTAACCTATCCTGACTAGCGCATGGGGCAAGGAGTCAAAGCAGCTGGGGAGGGTGTCCTGAGCCCCCCAGAGTGATGGCTGGAATGTGAGAGCCTGCCCATCAGGTCACGCTGCACTCTAGTCTGTCCCTTGGATGGAGAAATTAGCCCAGCTACTGCCCAGGCATCTGGGGAGGAAGAAATCAGGAGACAGGGACGCATATACAAGGAGTCTGAACAGCTCGTGAGTAGGGGCTGGCACTGTGGCGTACACAGCAGGTAAAGCCGCCTCCTGCAACGCCAGCATCCCATATGCACACTGGTTCAAGTCCCGGCTGCTCCACTTCTGATCCAGCTCCTTGCTAATGCACCTGGGAAGGCAGCAGAAGATGGCTCAAAGTCCTTAGGCCCCTGCACTCACAAGAGAGACTGGAAGAAGCTCCTGGCTCCTGGCTTCGGCCTGGCCCAGCCCCAGCTGTTGTGGTCATTTGGGGAGTGAACCAGTGGATGGGAGATCTCTCTCTCTCTCCCTATCTCTCTCTTTCTGTAACTCTGCCTTTCATATAAACCAAATAAATCTAAACAGATCATATAATAATAAATCTTTTTAAAAGGTTCATGATAAATGTGTATTATGAAAAAACCACATGGATCTCAAAATTCTTTTGCAGCAAAATAAGCTTATCTTTAAATTCCACTTTTCCACAAACTTCCCAAGATACCCCAGTAACTTGAGCACCCAGCATGTGGCAGGCAGGGACTAGATTCTCTAGGAACCGCCCCTCATCGAGCCCTCCAAGGTGTACGTGAGTACCCAGGAAGCTGAAGGCGGGAGAAGGGAAGAAACCGGCCCCGGGCTGCAGCCGTGGAGGCAGGACCAGGCCTGCGGTGCACACCGTGTTTCAGTTTGCACACCAGCTGGCCTCTACTGACAGCTACTGAGACAGTCAGAAAGCACAGGGCCTGGTGCCGGGCTCCACACGCCTCTCATTGACTTTTATTTATTTGAAGTAGAGAGATGGAGATCTCCTAACCTCTGGCTCACCCCCCAAATGCCTGCAACAGTCAAGGCTGGTTACAGCCAGGAGACTGGAAAGCAATCTGGGTCTCCCATGCGGGTGGCAGGGACCTATGTCCTTGAGCCATCACCTGCTGCCTCCCCGGTGCATGACCGGAAAGCTGCGATGGAAGTGAAGACTTGAACCCAGGCAACCAGATATGGGATGTGGGTGTCCTTGTCCTGTGTGGTATCTTCGCCTCTGCACCAGACTCTCGCTCCCCTCGGTGCTGCTCTATGTACCGTCCCCTGGGCACATGGGGCTGGGCATCCTGGACATGGGGGCAGGCCTAATCATCTGTGGCTTCCAACATCTGTCCCTCTTCTGTCCTGCGACCGCTGGCCTTCAGAGATAGCCAGGTCACAGGGGCACCTTGCTGGAGAAGGCAGCCTGCCTCTTCTGAATCTGAGAGTTTGTCAGTGCTGGTACACAGCAGGCACGCAACAACAATCTGGCACATAGTAGGCACGCAACGACAACAGGCAGCACTAGATACTGGTAGTGTGCCTGAGCTCAGGGGACATATGGGAGTGCTCCATACTTTGCAGTCAGTTTTACTGTAAACCTGAAATTACCTTAAATAGATAAAGAAAGCTTAAGTAGAAAACATAAAATAAAATTGGGTGGAATGAGCTTTTTGGGAGACTGCTGTAGGCGATATTTGCTAAGAAATCCTGGTGAATAACATTTGTATCAGCATTATCCACCAAAAATGCACAATCACCACAAACATCTGCATGTGACAAGCCCGATACATGATTTCACTCAACCTTGTAGCTCTGAGGCATAAACACTCCCTCGTCCACGTCGCAGCTAGGACTGGGAAACAGAGAGGGCAGTGAATCTGCCTGAGATCACACAGCTAGGTGGTGGCCCGACCAGTCCAAGGCTCTGGATCTCCATCTTCTTTCCTTTCCCGCTGATCAGTCTCGGAGCCACGTGAGCCAGGACAGTGAGGTTGAGATGAGGCACGCTTAGCACACCATGCGCCTGTGGGAGGCGCGGTGCCGACGGAGAGCAGAGCGATCCTTCAGTCTCTGCGGGAGAGTGTCTCAGAGACTTAAGAGGTTTTGCCTAATGTGATCTCATTTCCCCCTTCTCAGTTTTATGTGTGAAAGGCAATGTCAAAGCACCTTGAAAAAACTGTCCCAGAAATCCACCCGCCCTCACGTGACTGCTGCGTCCTCAGAGTCCCCAGGCGAGTGCCCACGTGGCTGGGGTGCCCCAGGCCTCCTCCACCCTCCATCCTGACTCACTGCTACTCCGCCAACAGCAGATCTGTGCTGAAATGCTGGCAAGTCCAACCACAGAGATTACCCTTGGGGACCCGAGGGCCCTGGGGTGGAACTTGGACACTTCTCCAGGCCTGCTGTGAGCCCCTGGCCGGCACCGTGCCCCTGGGCCACCTGCGGAATGAGGGACACAGCCAACGGATGCCGGACGGAAACTCTTTGGGGGATGAGGATCCCACCCCTTGCCCTCTGCCCTGTGGGAGTACTGGGTGTTGAAGAGTCTGTCAACCATGTGGTTGTTTTTTGTTTTTTTGACAGGCAGAGTGGACAGAGAGAGAGAGAGACAGAGAGAAAGGTCTTCCTTTGCCGTTGGTTCACCCTCCAATGGCCGCCGCGGCCAGCGCACTGCGCTGATCCGATGGCAGGAGCCAGGTGCTTCTTCCTGGTCTCCCATGGGGTGCAGGGCCCAAGGACTTGGGCCATCCTCCACTGCACTCCCGGGCCACAGAAGAGAGCTGGTCTGGAAGAGGGGCCACTGGGACAGAATCCGGCGCCCCGACCGGGACTAGAACCCGGTGTGCCAGCGCCACTAGGCGGAGGATTAGTCTATTGAACCGCAGCGCCAGCCAACCATGTGGTTTTAAAAACAACTGCACTAAACACCCACACCCTAAACCCTACGGAAGTGCACAGCTCAGCAGCACCAAGCACACACTTGCACCGAGGTGCGACCCTCGCCCCGGCCACCCACAGAAGCCGAGCAACATGGAAACTCTGGGCTCACCAGCAGGGACTCCCCGCTCCTTTCCCCCCGGGGCACCACCGTTCCACGTTGTCGCTCAGTGTCTGGGTACCCCCGGGATCGCACCCGGGTGTGTCCCTGTGTGATAGGTACACCGTAGCCTGGGGCACGGCTCCCCTCCTCTCCAGGACCAAGTAACATTCCTTGTGAGGAGCTGTTTCAAGGTTGGTAGCCCCTCCACCACCCCCAGCCCCCTGCAGAAAGCCCGGACCCCCACCCCCACCCCCATAGCTGGAGCTGGGCCCTCTGACAGACTGTCCTGGGTTATGAGAATATCCTATATCCGTGCTGTCCATAGGGTGACCACCAGCCCCAGATGGCCACTGAGCACTTAAAATGAGGCTTCTGCAATTCAG